ATTTCCGCCGGCGCGATTCACTCACTATTATCGATTCATGCATTATCTTTGGTGACCGAATTATTATTCCAAAATTATTGCGACATAAAACCCTCAAGCAATTTCAGAGCGGTCACCCTGGAATAAACAAGATGAAATCATTGGCGCGCAGCTACGCCTACTGGCCCTCGATGGATAAAGATATAGAAACCAAATGCCGAAACTGCCTTTTATGCTTACAAGCAGCAAAAAACCCTTCGAAATGTGAGCGCCAACAATGGCAGAAACCTACTGGACCTTGGGAGAGAATTCATGCAGATTTCGCTGGCCCAATACAAGGTAAAATGTTTCTAATTATTGTAGATGCATATAAGAAATGGCCAGAAATATACTGCATGCCGAACTTTACAGCCTCGGAAATTATTCAGAAGCTGTCTACCTTATTTAGTTGTTTCGGAGTGCCAGAAACCTTGATAACTGATAATGGATCACAATTTGTTGAGGACTCATTCAAGCGATTCTGCAGTTCAAACGGCATAACGCATCTACGGTCCCCACATTACCTTTCCCAATCCAATGGACAAGCAGAACGCTTCGTCAACACTTTCAAAAGAGCTTTACTGAAAGGAGGAGACGAGAGGCCAACTAGCCAAGTAATCAATAGATTTTTAACGACTTACAGAAACACTCCGAACCATATGGTCCCAGATGGGAAGTCTCCAGCTGAATCAGTATTTAGAAGATGTATTCGGACTATTTTTAACGCGATGTTGCCCCCTAAAAGAGTGAATAGGTAAAGGCTAAATCAAAATATGCGCAGCTTAAATGTTGGAGATAAAGTGTTTCTAAAATCATATCTGGGGAAACATCGATGGGAACCAGGACTATGAAGAGTTTTGTATCGGATAACAGGGGATTTCGAAAGCTGTTTCAGACACACGAACCAACTGCGAAAGGACTAAAGAATGGTACGCTCGGGTGATAATCGCGTACATCTGGAGTTGATCACAGAACCGACAACTACACATTTGTCCCGAAATACCGAAGAAAAGGGAAGGTCGGAGACACTAACTAGAAAAACTACAAACAGAATGGAACGCCGCCGTAACCCAGTTGTAAGAACCCCATTCACGGTGGGAAATCCTTGGCGACTCTAGGGAACATGCACCCTATGTGTATGACTGCCTGGATCACAGCTCGTATCAAGCTCGTTCCAACTGACCTTTCCCAACAAATTCACTATTGATCTCGATAAATCGCCAAAAGAACCTATTGTGCACCTTAATTATTTGTACTCTACTATTGAAAATGTGGCTGTATTATACTGTTTTTGTCAGTGATATGGTGTAAATATGCAATCAGAAACTGACTCTTATACCTAATTTAACTGCTATAACTTTACAGTGAAAGCATTTGTGACAATTTGATCTAGCCTGTAAACTGGCGTGACTCTTGTAATGTAGTTATTTGAGAATAAATATATATTATATTATTATTATACAAGTGGACCCAAGAAAAAAATCTTATTCCGGGGAGGTGTTGGGATAGCCATGGAGAAGCCACTCAAGCACATGGTCGATTGACGAACTTATCGATTAAAAGTTTAAATATTTCGAGGACAATATCCATTATATATATAATTGTATAAATACGCATGTTTGATTGTATATTTTTGATTCCGTTAATAAGTGTTCTCCAACGTCTTCCGTCTTCTTATTTTTTGAACGGTGGGAGTCTAACGTTCGGTGTTGTCATTTGTACAGTGGTTTGGCGTTACTCAAGTAGAGAACGTAACATCTTGCTACTCGTATTAAAATTTCGAACTAATTCCCAACCATTATATACTGTTTAACATATCACAAACTAGTATGCTCTCACTGATCTATCAAAGAAGAAGAAGGTTCTAGTTGCTGAGAGAAAGTGGATCGTGAGAAGGCTTCGCTGATATGCACTTGAAGAATAGGGCTCAACTAGGTGACCATTGGCTAGTCATCAAGTAAAAGGTTATCCAATAATTAACGAGTTACGTACATAGAGAAGCTCATTTCTTTTAGACAGTATGCAAACTAAGAATAAATTGTCACTGTTCCTCGACAAGTACTCCGGTTACTTTGTCAAAAGTTTGACAGGCGAAAACACTTTGCCACTAATTACAGAAAGATAAAATTGGTTAGAAATGTGCGATATTTTTAGAGGCATTAAAATGGAAGCAACGGTTTTTGATAAATCTTTTGGTATAGACGTGGCTGAAATGTAGTTGGGAAATAGCCACACTTCATACATAAACTTCAGGTTACTGGACTGATACCTGAAGATGACAGCCATTTCTCGCTACAAAGCACTTCAAAAAAGAAAGCTTCAAATGAGCTGGTTTCTTAGGATCATATAAATTAAAAGTTCTGTTTCACCCTTTAATCTTTAGACTTACTAACGTAAAGATTCCTACCATCCTCTCTCACAAAGAAGGACTGGTTAAATTGTATATCCCAACGTACAGGCATCTTTTGACATGAAGAACAACATGGTCGGCAGTTAGAAAACATAAACTTTCATTACTGCGAATCATAGCAGCTAAACATTACTGTGACGAGCTTTTTGACTCTGAAACTGAATGGACAGTTTTATCGATTCTGAACGGTCGAACTGAAGCTCCAAAGGACCGTCCCTCTTGTTTGTTTTGTTGAAAAACTTTTTAAGAGTGAAGAGCACTGTTTGTATGTATTTATTTTCTTACTTACATGTGTAATGACCGGGCATATTAGGTGTTTTCAGTGAAAACATGTTTGACTTCACATATAGTTAACAATTAGGACAAATTCACATTACATAAAGCATTCGCTATTGCTTTGCTGCAGATTTCCATATATAGAGGTTGAACTTTGTACTTACATGGGGTTATGTGCCGGGCATTAGTCTATTACCAAACTATATGTAAATTAGTGTATCGTTTTGTGCAAATGAATATAACTAATCGAGTATGGTATTTTAAATGACCGTATCTAAATATCCGCTTTGTGATGGAAAGAAAGGCGAGCATAGGATACATTTGAGATGAGACAGTACTCTGCGAAAAAGGATGCAAAAATCAAGCTATAGGATTTAAGCGAAAGGTTAACAGCGGTATTTTTATCACAAAGTAACAAAAAAGTTAAATGTTGAACGATATCTTAGCGACAAGTAGAAGAGTAGAATTTTTGGCAAATCTCCCATTTATCCCATGTTCTATATTGCCTCTTTTTAGCTTAAGATATTTTTCGGTTAACTCTTGTGACTAAGACCTAATTATTTAAAATTTCGTTCCGACAACAGCTACATATCTTCCCTGTACCATTCATCAACCATCATTGGTCGTTGTAATGCAACGGTGAAAATAAACCAATTTTCACTTCATTTTTAGATATGTAGCCAGTTTCATTGTTTTAAACCATAATCCTACTGAACTTGAATCTTTTATCACCAAACGAAGTATTCTTGATGCTATTTTATGTAAACGTACCGTTTTGTTCTATTTTTGTTGTTCTTGACCACTTTTGAATGTAGTGATATAACGGTAAAGAACGACCCAGTTTATGGGCAAATTTATACCATCTAGTTCTGCCACGATTTATTTGAGGCGTTTTAAATTTTATTGTGGTTACTCATGAAGTTTTTTCTTATGAAATCACAAATGTATATTGTAACACACATCTAAAGGAATATAACCCTGCTTGCAACAATCCCGTCATGACTTTAAATTAGTGTGCCTCTTATATACCTTACTGCGTCTAGGAAGTAAATTATTATTTTCATATGAATGGATGACTAAATCAATGTCTTTGATTATGGAATTGAAGTTTATGTCGCACACTTTGAATTTTTCTGAGCTTTTATTAGAGCCCATAATGTTTGTCTCGTCAACAGTTCCCAACGAACAGGTAAGTAATCACAAGTGACCCACTGGCTGCCGCGACTAAATAGGTAAAAAAATCATCATTAGGACAAGCTATTTATTATTTCGGGGTATAGTATGTCTACGCGCCGTCATCTGAGCCTCAGTATTCGAAGCTTTACTTTCTTTGATTCATAGAATTAAGCTTACTTATCAGAAATCGCTCGAAATATCGCAATACACAATTATAGGGACTAAATTATAACTATGTATGATTAAAAGTAAACCGAGAAAGTCGTGAGCAAACGGAATATGACTGCTAACTTTTGAATCTTCTCTAACGTAATGATTCAAGAGCCGATGAAATCAAAGGGTGGGATACGGGGGTATATTTTAGTTGTAGTTTGAAGTGTCGTGGTTTATGGAACCAAATTGGTTAATGCTCGACAAGATATGATCCGATAATGATACTCAATCGAGGGTTGACAACTGTTGATGTTCCCAGGAAAACTAATAAGGTGAGCTATAATGTCAAAGTTTCACAAAGTTATTAAGTTTAGATACTTATATGCTGCTGCAAGTACGTTCGCTGCCTTTTGAAAGCTTTAAGATTTTAAACAAGCAGTATCGTGAGCATTGCTTACAATTCTGTTTACTTGAAGAGGCCAGTAACATGTTTTGATAGTAAATCACACTTTAGAACAGGAAAGAGGTTGAAAAAAACCGTGCAAAATTTCTCTCAGCTCGATTCAATATGATATACTTCAGGGATTCATTCGGAAGACGACTCTACCACTACTTTAATCCTGTTGGCAATAATAAGTATGAGGATAAGTTACGCTCGTCAGTCACTTCTTTTATTAAGTCGATTATTTCGCTCTTCAAATCCTCGAAACAATTTAACAGGAATCATGAATCTCAGTAATTAAGACCATACCCAACCCGCTCAGACGCAAGTCCCACAAACACGTATTTCATTGAGACCTTGGGGCTGAAGATCCTAAAATGTGATCAGGTCTGTATGTCAACTTAAAAACTCATAAAGAAACTCTTCAAACCACAATATGGTAATTTCAGCAGATAATGTTATGTGTTTGGACCATTTAATGGTTATTCCAATTTCTTAATGGGACCTCAGTTTAACTGTTTTGTGGGAATATTTGATCGCCCTAGGTCATCTGCGTGGTGATTTTTGAATTGGTCATACGGGTTAAAATCTGTTCGTCGTTTTCAGGATTCACTTTTATTGTTCCATCCATTTGACCAAAACAAAGAATTCCAATACATATAGTTCACATTTTTAGCGTATGACTGCCTGATGTCGTCTGCAGTTAAAGTTTTTACTCTTGAGGAGATCAGGAAGCATAATAAACCAAACGACCTCTGGATTGTGATTCATGATAAAGTATATGATTTGACAAAGTTCGCATCTGAAGTAAGTCTACATACAAGTACATGGTGAAAAAATAATGCTGATGTAAGCGCTACAACTAGAGTTTAAGTTTGACGTCATAATTCAGGGAAACCCTGTAGATAAAAACCTGGACAGCGACTATTAAGAAACAAGTGGTAATTTCTCTAGTGTATTTCAGTAAATTCCGAATTACTCCGAAAACCGGGTTTAAAAACAAGACTAGCGGACTTTGGTAAGCCGATAATGCTGCTCATCATGATGCAAATGTCATACACCCGCAATAACAAAACACAAAATGTGCTTTCAAGGGTTCCTCCCTTCTGCAAAGATAGTGAATAAAATAGTTTAGCAAGTTAACATTCTTAGCGGAGTTGAATTCTTTCTCCTTCCCTACGACTGGTGAATAGTCCTTAATACTGATTCGTATCCTTACTCAATTACTTATTTACGCCTGTTACTCCTAATGGGGCATAGGCCGCAAACCAGTGTTTTCCCACCCCGTTCTGTCCTGAGCTTCCCTTTCCAGTTCTGTCCAATTTTTGTTCATTCTTCTCGTGTCTGCTTCTGTTTCTTGGTCTTCCTCTTTTCCTTTATCCTTGGGGGTTCCAAGCGAGGACTTGACTTGCAACGCAGTTGGGTGCTTTCCGCAATGTGTGTCCTACACACTCCTTGCGCCTCTTCCTGATTTATTCCTACACTGGAATTTGGTTTGTTCTTCCCCACATTAGGTTGTCGCTGATGGTGTCTGGACAACGGATCTGAAGTAGAATTGTCTGGACATTTGTATTGGAAATCCCGATTTAGGTGTTGGTTGATAGTTGTTTGGAGTTCCAAATGTTCTTCGATTGTAGAAATGCTGTCCTTGCTTTGTCGATACGTACCTTCACATCTGCATCAGATCCACCTTGCTCGCTAATGCTGCTGCCTAAATACGTAGAGCTTTTTACATCCTCAAAGGCATCCCCATAAAGAGTGGTTTGGCTGGCTCGTGTTGTGTTATATCGGGGAATCTTGATTTTCCCTTTATGCATGTTGAGACCTGCTGCTGAGGACGCTGCTATACTGGTCGTCTTCTCTTGCATTTTCTGTTGCGTGTGCGTTAGAAGAGCCAGATCGTCCAGCTGCATCCTGGCTGTCCGCTGTATGCCGTTTTTCGCTCCAGATGTTGACGTCTTCATCATTCAGTCGATCACCAAGCGAAAGAGAGGGTGAGAGTAAGCAACCTTGACCGACACCAGTCTTGAACCCAGTCAACTGTCCTCTGCGTACGATTTCGCAGTTGAATCCATCGTAAGAATTCGGTATGATGTTAACTATCTTTTCCTCCATAGTGTCTTCCTGTCCACACTATCAAATGCTTTCTCGTAGTCAATGAAGTTGATTTGGAGTGGTGAGTTCCATTCAACTGATTGTTCCACAATGATCCGTAATGTTGCAATTTGGTTGGTACACGATCGATGCTTACGAAATCCAGAGTACCGAAAGAGATCCATTCCTTGTGGTGGTACTTCTTATGGCCCAGAACCTCTTGACATGTTGAAGCGATTTCCTCCTTGATTCCTTTTCAATTGTTCTCCATGGTAGTTTCCTTTCCATTGAGTGGATCATGAAATGCCTGGAACCTATTGCTGAGGGGTATATTTAATTCGTTGAGCTTTCCAGGTCAGCTTTCCTGAAGCTAGTCTTAGTTGTCCAACCTGCGTCCAATGCGTTTCACTGATTCCAAGCACCTCCAGGTTGTATCTTCTAATTTCTGCAGCAATTCGAAACAGTCTTCCAGCCTCCCACATTGTTCGAACATTCCATGTACCTAAAGGAATGGTAGCTATGGTTGTGAGAAAGGGCATCGGCCTCGTGATTTCCGAAGGACCTCATCATGAGACGTCATAACTCTTCTGAATGAAGCGCTTCTAACTCTCAGGGCAGAGTTAAAATGGTTTGAATTGATTTTTGAGGTTAGCGTTTTCCCAGAGATTTAGTTTTGTTTTTGTGATGGAGTCACCAACCCTGATGATTCGCATCCTACTTGCCCATATATTTTTTTCTATGTCGCTGACTAAAATACCAAAATTTTTTTATTTCTATTCCGTATGTATTTCTTCTGTCAGTTCAGTACTTACATTTTCCAAACCAAGCACTTGCATAAAAATGTTAAGTGTCTGAATTTTATTGCAAGGCATGGAAACTTGACGTATAACTCAAAATAGTATTATGAAGATCCATATTTAAGATTTGATATCAAGGATGAAGCTAATTAAGGCCGTATCGTAAAAGAGTGTTTCTAAGAATGGACTAAGATATTTAAGTGAAGAAGCAATCTATTTTCAAGTTTAAACCTAACCCCTCATTTCATTTAAAATCTTTCCCATATTCTGATTCAATAACAGTTTGGTAGCCAAAAGCTTATTAAAAAGTATTCTGTATTTCTATGTAGGAAGCTCAATTGTTTTTTATATCTTCCTAAAAGTATGCATACAGCCAATATTATTGGTCTTCAGTTACTCCTAATGCATTTCGTATGTATCAGATATCAGAATATTCCTCTCTGAGATAAAATCATTCAATACTGTCCATGAATGCCTCAATTCAGACAAAAACTGATGGTAATCATAAAGCTTTCATAGTACTCGGTATCCCACTATAAATCAAACTGTCAGTAGAGTTTTTGTATCATGCATTTCATAAAGTTAATAGTTTTGTTTGTGTTTTCTAAGAAACCATATTCAAGTTAGTATCAGTCAGTCAGCTACAAAGTTAAACTTTACGTACATCAGTTCAAGTTGTCATACCATATTAGTCCAGAGATCGACTTCCCGATTCAAGTCCCATAGTGGTTGATGTAGTAGAAGTATTAGCGGGTTCGTTGATATGATTCAAAAAGTATAAGCCAGTGAAACAGAATTAAAAAGAGAAAGATAAATGTGATGAGGAATTCAGAATCTGAGAGAACCCAAAGAATGGATGCACCTGTACCATCCTGAACGATTTTAAGCCATGTCACTCCGTCTCTAACCATCGGTTAATATCGTCTCGTTGACCTCAACCAGGTAGTTTACACCTACCAACATAACTCAGTCCAATTGTCAGTGACTTCACGTGTTTGTGCCATGTTTTGGTTTGGCCGCCCCTAGCTTTCTTCGAGCCTACCACTACACAAAAAATCTCTTCTAGAAGCAGTCGGTCGAACAGCACTCTATTACGAGTGTATTATATAAACCTGACAGCATTGGTTGGTGTGTAATTCTAATTTAATATTGTTTTGCTTTTATTATCATTAAAAGACACAAATAGCATAAACGGGCACTTAAATAAATGTGTGGTACATCAATTATTGAATGGGTGTACTAGGATGCTGCCTTGTCGCCCGAACCAAAGCAGGGGCTACTCCTAGAGCCTTTAACCCGGTCTAATCCACAAGGGAGTTGAACAACACTAGATGTAGATCAATCGTAACCGGTGACGAACAATGAATCCATACATCACTTGCTACCTCAGGATCCTGTAGTCCATCTGCATCATTGGTTTAAAATCAGGGTTATCCAACCCTTCCCTCGTACCGATCAACCAGGTTTTAGCTCTGAACATTCGCCTTTCGTCCTCCGAATTTCGTGAACAACGCTCCCGTCACGAGAGGGTTATCAGTAGAACTTCCCTAGCAGTGGCTATGCACGTATATCCGTATGAAAGCATTTCTGGAAGGAGAGCAAACTCTCGGTCGTGCCAGAACATTCGGGTTAAGATCGTAGCAGACTAAAATGATTGTTGGTTTTCAACGGATGTTAAGGTGTGTCCTACGCATTAATCTACTAACTAATCCAGTACGCTACACTGGTTCGGTAGATGCTTTTTTGTAAGTCTGATAGTGACCAACTGTGGGATCAGTCAATGGAGACGTTAACCGTTGACCCGAATTTCAGTAAGTACCTATCTAGGATTAAGAATATAGTTAATGTATTTTCCATACCTACAGTTAAAAAGCTTCAATGAAGGAACTTCACATCACAATTATGGGAAGTGTGATCAAAAACTACAACCAGATCACTAATGGTGTTCATTCTGAGTTGTATTTAGCAACAGATCAAATAAGATTGGGTGTAGCAAGCAGAGAACTAGACAGTTTATGTCATAGCGCCATAGTTTGAAGGAAAGCTGTATGGGATTGGCATCTGCCGATCCATTACGTCTTACTGGCTAGAGTCCTAGAGATAGTGCAACTCATTGGTTTCAGACATGGCTCACAACAGGAACCAGTGGATACCCGACTGCAGTTTTCATTTAATTTCTTCGTAAAAGTGAGAAACCCGCTTAGCTGAAAAGTGTCTTTCTGGTCGTATTTTTTATCAAACTTTTCTCTTATTTACTAAACTCGTCTAATTATTAATTTACTTTTGATTGTACTCACCCTCCCGACCATAGCTGCTACCCTGACGTGGTGGTCGGGCTTGCCTGTCGTGATGACCTTACTGAGCGATATTGGCTGGAACATAAGCTCCTATAGGTTCTACCGGGCCAGGCAAGTTGATTGGAGAACGGTGAGACTAAAAGCCGCGACTCAAGGTCTGATGGCGAATTCGGACTGCTGACTGCAGAGGGGTGTGACAGCAATAAGGTGTTTCCCTCGGACAACCAGCATCTACAGCGATGCTGACTTTTCACAAGGAAGGAAGGAGTTAGAAAAGGTTGACCCTATAAATGTCACACCTCACCCTACCCCAAGGGTTTCCGTCTCCGGCGGTAAGGTCACTTGAAAAGCGGAGCTAACACTATACAATCTCGTCATAAAATGGTTGTGCGTAACCGGCCTCAAGCAGTTGTCCCTTGGGATCTGCGGTCACGCTCCCAGGTCGTTAAGACCAACACTAATCTACCTTCCTTTTCAGGTCCCTCAATAAACAACCTTCCACGGTGTGGGCAGCCAGGAAGTGACAACCGCCTTCATACCCGTAACAGCACGAGTGACCAAATTGGTCAATATCGAATCCGTCTACATCCCATATTATCTCTCTTATCTCCACGACTAACTCTTCTCACATTCCTTTATCACACTGCACCGCTAATGCAAACGATTCAAGTTCACGAAACGTTATTCCTGGTCTCCTGAAATCCCGTTCTGAACTAGATGTTGGAGCTTTTGATGTCCGGACATTGTGTCAAATAGGAAAAACGCCGCCTTAGCCAGGACGTGTGCTGCGTCTCTGAAAAGCGCATATAAGATCCGAGTAGCGTCATTCATGTGACCTCACCATATCAAAATGATGAACCACCTCGATCAACTCTTCGTGTATCTGGAAGCCCTGCTGCAGCTTCCCGTGGCGTCACTGGTGTAAGTATAGCATTGAGTCCAAGGGCAGAACTAGCTCTCTGAAACTGGACCCCAGTAGGTGGTCGTCTGATCGCTGTCCGACTGAACGGGACAGTAAGTGCTTGAAAAGATAGGGAAACTCGCCGTCGCCTCTTCGTCGTATCTGCCTGCGCTCCCACTGACTGCACCTCAGACGAGATAAAAGATAGGTTTTACAGAAGGCTTCTTGACCCCGTTCAAAAATTTAGGCGCTATGATGTTGTAATAGTAGCTGGTAACTTTAATGCTGGAGTAGGTAGACTAAATGAAAAGGAAAGACATCTTGGTGGATCTAATGGTATCGCGGCTCAAAGAACAGATTGTGGCGACAGTCGGCTACAGCTATGCCTAGGTGACCGCCTATTTCTTGCAAATACTAAATTTAAGCACAAGGAAAAACATCTTTTGACATGGTGAACCCCAAAGTCGTCCCAAGGCTTGACCCAACTAGATCACGTTGCTGTCAGCTAACGATTGACAGGCTCCATTGAAGACTATCGCTCATTCTGAAGCACATGTTTAGATTCAGATCATGCTGTAGTGCGAGCACATATTTGTTTGTGGCTTAGAGGATTTAGGAAATGCACCAAAAGGAAACCTTTTAGTGTTCTACTTAATAATAGCAAAACTAGGAAAAATTTCAGCAACAACTGGAAAAACAGTTAGGCAGTCATGTGAGTGATTCCCTCCCTGAAGCAGCTTGGAAAGATACACAAGAAGCTGTGAAAACAGCAGTAATATCTGCTAGTAAGTTAAACCGTAAGGTTATGGAGAAGCCGTGGATCTCAGTAGCATCTGCTGAACAATAGATGCTCGAAAACTCATCCGGCCAGGCTCTAAACATGATGGAGAGCTAAGTCAGCTTAAGCTCAGGCTGATAATAAGCCTACGCAATGATCGCGAACAGTAGTGGGTAGCGAAATCATGAACGATGGAAGGGGCAGCGATGATAGGTAACAATAGACAACTGATCTGCCTTATCAAGGAAACTGGTACTCGGATTATATCTGTTTGTGAAACTCTCTCAGAAAAGGATGGTTGTATTATTCATTCTTCACCCGGAAGATTAGATCGATATGCAGAAAACTTTAAGGATCAGTTCAACTGGCCTTCAGTCACCCACAATCTCGAGTCATCGTGAATGGCAAATCGATATAATTCCTGCGAGTCTTTGTGAAGTTGAAAATGCTGTAGGAAATCTGAAGCGAGGGAGAGCATCAGGCCCTGATAGGCTTACCGCTGAAATCTTAAGGATGGTTGTCCAGTTTTAACTGTTAGATTGACTGAGATCTTATGTAGAATCTGGGGACTAGGTGTAATAACATCTGAGTGGTCTCAGTCACTGATTGCTGTGGTCTATAATAAAAGACAAAATCCTGTCGTGACAGAGGAATCAGTTTATTTGATATAGTGTCCGAATTGTTAACCTTGATAATGCTTCTACGCCTGACTAAATCTCGTGAAAAGCAGACGAGAGAAAATAAGGCTGGTTTTCGACCGTAGAATATACCGATGACATAGTTCTATTTGGTGAAAACGCTGACAAGATGCAGAATCTTCTGACTACCCTTAGCAACAATGCAAACATGTTTGCGATGCGGTTCTCACCCTCGAAATGCAAAATATCGCTTCAAGATTGGGTTGCATCGGCACCTGAACTAGTGATAGGGAGTGAAGTAGTTGGGCATGTAGACAGCTTCACTTATCTCGGGAGTTTTATCAGTGCTGGTGTCCTGGTGACTGACGAAATCTCAGCATGGATACAAAGCTCGATTTGTTTTTGCCGACTTGCATCTCTTATGGCGTAGCAGTTCTCTCCGTCCTACTATATGGATGCGAAACGGCCGGTAAATTTGAGGATATTTGTAGGTTATTAGTATTCTACTACAGATGTCCTCGAAGCATTGCTCGTGTATCTCGGGATATCGGAGTAAGCAATGCAGTTGTTAGGAAACGAGTACCAGGTAGGGATGGCAAATCGATAAATGAAGAATTGCAACTTCATCAGTTGAGTTGGTTGGAACGTGTGTTACGAATGAGCAACCACCGACTGCCTCGACAAGTGATATTTTGTGGTATAGGAGTAGGTTGGAAGAAAGTTAGGGGCGACCAAACCGAAATATGGCACAAACATATGAAGTCACTGACAAGTGAACTGAATCATGGTGTTCCCGAGACAACAATAACCGATGGTTAGGGACGGAATGACATGGCTCAAAATCGTTTGCAATGGCACAGGTGCATCCGCTCTTTGTGTTTTTCCAAATTCTAATCTTCCGAATTCCTCATCACATCTATGTTTCTGTTTCTAAAGTTATCTCACTCAATTATACTTGAGTGATATCTTCGAACCCTAATCTTCTCCGTCACCGAAAATACTTCTACTATCTCTACAACTATGGGATTTGAATTGACAGTTGTGTCTCTGTGTTATTGCTGTATGGCAACTTGAACTATTGTACGTACGTACGAAGTTCTACGTCGTAAATGACTGACTCACTCTCCCCCTTCTGTCTCTTCGCAGTTTGATTTTCTTTATTTTCACGGAGCCTTTTTCTTTTGTTGCCATGCTGTACCGGTGTTTTTTACGAAATAAATTTCACGCTTTCCATTCGTTTCGCTTGACATATTTTGTCTTTAGTCATTTATTATCGCTTGTATTATTATTTCAAGGCATTCAGTTTTCCGATTGACCTTTTTAATGGTTTTGTAATATATATCAATATCATATAATAAAAACCTGTCAGTTCATGTACGAAATTAATTAGCTACGACGTGATTAATATTGTTTTCTTTACTCCTATTTAGCATCCAGGGGGTGAAACTGTATTAGAACAGCAAGCGGGAGATTATGGTACTGAACCGTTTGAAGATGTAGGACACTCATCCGATGCTCGCGAAATTATGGAGCAATACTATATTGGTGAAATTGCACCTGTACGTCTGTTTTTGATAACCTTACAAATCGTTTCTTTCAGGCCGACCGTGAACGGAAAAGCAAATTCACGTCTTCGTTCACCCTGAAGAAAATAGATGGTTTTAGGTAACAGTTTTTCCAGACCTAGAGTAATTTTTTCGTAAACTCTATTTCACTTTTATTCTGGCCTATTATTATTTTAAAACAATCTCCAGTCTCACAGTTATACTCGAAACATGTTACAACAACCGGCTCAAAAACAATTATAACTGTTTATTATTAAATGTTTTATGTCTTCAGAGCTAATTTATTGGTTCACTCATTATTTTATTATTATGCCAAGTATAAGTTCTACGCAACTTCAACATTGTTTGAGGCTTGTTTTTAATGCGCGTTTTAGCAAACATCTTGTAGTCACCCTCAATATCTAGGACTTCAAAGGAACACAATTATAAATCAAATTCATTTTGTTAAGTCTATAATTCTACTTTGTTTTACTGGCATTTGGATTTATTAAGACAGTATACAACTACACTGCGCATTTAATTTTACTTTTTTATGGGAATCTTGAGTCACACTGGTTTTCCGAGTGTTATTATAACCGAGGTGTAAATATACATCTTTACACATTGATGTCATGAGTGTCTTTAAGTTAATAGATCGCTTTCTAAATAAGCATAAATACTACTTGGGATTAAGTTATATACCAAGAAATTACTAAGACTAATAACCAATAACATTATATTTTGTGAAATTAAACGTGAATTTGCCGCATATAGCTCCTTCATCGCTACTGCCAGTCCCAAGGAAAAGGAAGGTTGAGCATGGAGGTGGCGGCCCCATCCTATAAACAAAACTAACTCGCTGGGAAAACGCTAACCTCAAAAATCAATTCAAACCATTTTAACTCTGCTCTGAGAGTCAGAAGGTCTTCATTCAGGAAAATTATGACGTATCATAATGAAAGCCGAGTTCCTTCGGAAATCACGAGGCCGATGCCCTTTCTCACAACCATAGCTACCATTCCTTTTGGTACATCGAATTCTCGAACAATGTGGGAGACTGTTTCGAATTGCTGCAGAGATGAAAAGATGCAACCTGGAGGTGCTTGGAATCAGTGAAACGAATTGGACGCAGGTTGGACAACTAAGACTAGCTTCAGGAAAGCTGACCTAAATGCCATGGTTGGCATGGGCAACACAGGCCAGGAAGACATCATGGGACGACATGAACTGGGAGAAAGTAACAAAAACGGTGAGAGATTTGCAAACCTGTGTGCATTCAACAAACTGGTCATCGGCGGTACAATATTCCCACACAAACGCCTACACAATGCTACATGGATTTCACCCAATCACACTACTCAGAACCAAATCGACCATATCTGTATCAATAAAAAGTTCAGAAGGGCCATGGAGGATGTGAGAACCAAGAGAGGAGCTGATATAGCCTCAGACCACCGCTTGCTGGTCGCCAAAATGAAACTGAAACTCAAGAAACACTGGGCAAGATCACAAAAGTTCAATAGGCCTTTCTTCGGGGTACCGGAAAGCTCAACGAATTAAATATACCCCTCAGCAATAGGTTCCAGGCATTTCATGATCCACTCAATGGAAAGGAAACTACCATGGAGAACAATTGAAAAGGAATCAAGGAGGAAATCGCTTCAACATGTCAAGAGGTTCTGGGCCACAAGAAGTACCACCACAAGGAATAGATCTCTGTCGGTACTCTGGATAAGATTCAAGAAGGTTGAAATCAATATCAGCCGAACAAGAGCAGAGAAAGCCAAGACACATGCTGAGTACACAGAAGCAAACAAGCAAGTGAAGACGAGCATCAGGGATGATAAACGTAAAAATGTAGATCTAGCAATGACGTAGAAAAAGGCTGCAAGAGAAGGAAACTCAAGATAATCGTACGATACAACAAAGAAGCTCGCTGGAAACTATCGTAAACCAGAACGACCAGTAAAAAGCAAGCAAGACAAAGCGATCAGAAACGTTAAAGAACAGCGAAACAGGTGGGTAGAGCACTTTGAGGAACTCTTAAATCGACCAGCCCCACTGAACCCACCCGATATCGAAGCAGCATCCACCGACCTCCCAAGCACTGTTGGCTCAACAACAATTGAAGAGATCAGTATGGCCATTCGACAAATGAGGAGCGGTAAACCAGCAGGACCAGACAACATTCCAGCAGAGGCAATGGAAGCAGACGTGACAGCAACTGCAAAAATATTCCACATTCTGTTCAACAAGATTTGGGATGAAGAACAAGTACCAACACACTGGAAGGAAGCATACCTGACCAAAATACCAAAGAAAGGCGATCTCAGCAAGCGTGAGAACTACACAGGCACCACTCTTCTCTCAATACCAGGCAAAGTCTTCAACAGGGTATTGTTAAACATGATGGAGGACTTCGTAGACGCTCAACTTCGAGATCGACAGGCTGGATTTCGTAAGCATCGATCGTGTACCAACCAAATTGCAACATTACGGATCATTGTGGAACAATCAGTTGAATGGAACTCACCACTCCAAATCAACTTCATTGACTACGAGAAAGCATTTGATAGTGTGGACAGGAAGACACTATGGAGGAAAAGATAGTTAACATCATACCGAATTCTTACGATGGATTCAACTGCGAAATCGTACGCAGAGGACAGTTGACTGGGTTGAAGACTGGTGTCGGTCAAGGTTGCTTACTCTCACCCTCTCTTTCGCTTGGTGATCGACTGAATGATGAAGACGTCAACATCTGGAGCGAAAAACAGCATATAGTGGACAGTAAGTCTGTGGCACGCAACTATGTCACAAGAGAAGTCCTTACTTGGAATCTTCATGGCCGAAGGTATATGTAGGCGTAGGAACACCTTACGCTGAAAAATGCTGACATGCGATAGAAGAATGATCGAAAATTGGACAGAAGATAAAATTGAAGCTCAGGATTGAGTAGGTTTGGAAATAGTGGTCAGCGGCTGATGCTCCATTAGGGGTAGCAGAGGGAAGTATGTTTGTGGGGTTATAATTATGCTTCAATGTAAACAGTCAAATATATTTTAAGATTTTATAAAATTTAACCTTATTGCTCTATGTGCGTACTATTGTTAAAGCGCTTTCCTCAAATAAAATTTCTGGTTTTCAAGTAAGTACAACCCTCGCAATTATATATTTTCATTCATCATTAAATTCTCTAGCAATGATTATTAAGGATCAGGGATCTGACTCTACTTCTGCCGAACGATCATTTAAGCTAATGAAATAAATCTTTTCTTTAAGTTCCGTATTTTATTTTTGGGTTAACCTTGTTTGTGCAACAGTGGTATTATGAAATGTAATGCGATTTATAGTTGGAAAAATATTTTTCATACGCCCCCGTCTGCAGGTAGACTTAATAACGGGAAGCCTAAAGTAAAGTACGGAATGCAAGTGGGTCAATTCCATTTGATGAAGCATGAATAAGTGTTTATAGTCAGTCAAAAACAAACTAGACTTATGATAAGCGAAGCGAGCAATGCACAAACGCACATGTAAAAACAAGCGAGGTTATAAGCGACTAGTTAACAAGGTCAGAAGGCTGGAATAATTGTGGTGGTGTTTCGTTATCTGAGCTGGATGTTATGTTATGGAGATTTCATTGTTCTTCTGAACAACATCATCAGCACAAACTTCAGATCGAAATGAATTATCTGAATTTCTCCACGTTTGACCCGTAGGTTTTTCTGTTAACCTTGATCTAAAGGTCAATCATCCCCTTGAGCTACAAATTTTTTCCACCATCTCAAAGGATGGGATAATTAGTTTGTCCAACGGCTAGAAGCCATGTGGGCTCGGTATTATATAGTATACAATACAAATCACTACCCATCGTAATATGACAAATTCTGTTAATAAAGGTATCACGTGTCTTAATACCCCTAAAATACTGGAGATCCGTTATGTTAACTAATCACTGAATTCCTCGAATTTCTATTCTTGAAAATATAGAGATGATGGAATCTAATTGGATATGACAATGTCATGGTTCTTTTATGACATTAGTCAGCTTCATGATACCGTAGTAAAAGCGTAAGTCATAATCGGTGAGCACATCTTTCGAAACTTACTGGATAGTATAGATTTTACTAATTTCTATAGTGTTGTTCCACTCACTCGTTTTATGGTAAATCACAACTAATTAAATAATATATTTACAGAAAATAATTGTTTCAAAAGATAACTGTCGTATTCACTCCTAATAAGTTTCTCGGGGTTAATATTTCACTGATTCTAGTATTTTTATTCTGTGCATGCTATATTTCAGTTTCAGTTTATGACTATTATGATTATTTCCGTGAATCAGCTTTTTCCTTTTTGAATTACATCTTTACCCCTATTCCTTTTCCTGATAAGTGCTACTACTACTTTTTCTACTTTCGTTTTCATTTCGATGATTTCGTCTGTATTTGTATTGTTTTGGTGTGGCAACTTGAACCGAAGCGCATATGCACCAGGTTCCGTGTTGTGTTTGACTGACTGAGTAATATGTTAATTTCTATGTGAAATACCTCCTAGTGATTGTAACCATCATCAATGATTGTCATTGTGTTTAGTATGTGTATTTAAGTTAGATTTGCCAGATAAATAGGCCCACTACTCAAATGCCTTGTTAAGCTCACTTGAGATTATCCGTCTGTATATGTTGGAATTGTTTTTAAGTCAGGCAAACGTATAGTTTCGTTTCAGTGCGGAATATACATATAATTTGGTTTGGTTGTCACTAATTTGCATAATTTTCTATCGACATTAAAACTAGCATATTCAAACTGATAGACATATCGCAGATAAACTAACAATAAAGTTATTTAACTAGTTCTGAAATCGGAATATGATAAAATACAAACCAGAAGACCACTTGACGTCAGTTAAACCGACTAAAATCAATTTATATCTTCCCAAACTGTTAAACTAGATCAATATTCCAACATGAAATTGACAAAACGATTAGTAAAAAGTTGAATTGACGGTACGCATATTAGTAGGATAAAACATGGTTCAAAAAGTAGGACTTACGCCTGTTGCCCCTAGCAGAGCAAATGCCGCCGACCAGCATTCTCCGACCTACCCTCTCCTGGGCTCTCCTATTTTCTCCCAATCGCTATTCATTCTTTTAGTGTCTGCTTCCGTTTCTTGATGCAATATGTTCCTTGGTCTTCTTCTTTTCCTTTGGCCTTGAGGGTTCCAAGTTAGGTCTTGTCTTGTGACCCAGTTGGGTGCTTTCCGTAATGTATATCCTATCCACTTCTAGCTCCTTTTCTTAACTTATTCCCTAACTGGAATCTGGTTTGTTCTTTGCCACACGTGGCTGTTGCTGATGCTGTCTGCCCAACGGATCCACTGTGTCTTGCATAGACAACTGTTATTAAATATATCTTTTGAATGATAGCTTCCGTCGTTCTCCAAGTTTCCGCTCTATACGGTAAAACCGTATTGAAAATTGTGACTTTGTTGTTGTTTGGCAGTCTTTTTGAGTTCCAGATGTTCTTCAGTTTTAGAAATACTGCCCTTGCTTTGTTAATCCGTGTTTTTGCGTTGGCGTCACTTCCACCTTGTTTATCGATAATGCTCCTCAAATATGTGAAGTTTCTCCATCTAGTGTGATTTGATTGGTATGTGTGGGGTATCAGACGATCGTACTTTTTCCTCTGTGTATGTTGAGACCTACTGCTGCAGAGGCTGCTGTCATAAAGTAGAAGAGAGACAAAATAATAAAAACTATTATTGAAACTTGGTATTTATAATGACGGCACTAGATGAATACACGTAACAATTTCAGACTATATCTGACCAATAATCAAGATTTTCATGTAAGTCTCGTCAAACAGTGTACGCCTACTACCACGGTTCAGAGTAGCAGTTTGTTCATCACTACCACTCAATTTCAACAATCCTATATATTTTTTTATGAAGGTGATTGACTTGTGTATTTTGAGAGAGGGATTTCTTCATGACACACAAACAACATTGGGGAGAATCGACTATCCTTTTCGTATTTTTGTCTTCTATTTCTATGACCAATTTTTTTCTCCTTACAAAATAAAAATAATACACAATCAAAATTAGAGAACTAATTGAATAAGCTGTACTGTTTTGTAAATATATTGCCAAAGTAATGATTTTTCCCTTTGTAGTAGTTTACTAATACACAAAAATGCATGCACAAACGCTTTCCTTGAATTGTATAATAATAATATCTAATTTTATTTAATTTATTAAGATTAATTTATGTAGATGTTTAGTGGACCTTTCTTATCTATCCACTTGTAAACATTTTTCACTGAATCCCAGCTTGTGTTTGAATTGCTTTGTGTATGTTTAATTGTCTTGGTTTTGATAAAATAATCTCATAGAATGAAATGTTAAAATGTCTGCGGGATTTTTTATTTATTAAAAGATTCAGTCCTAAAATCTTGAGACAATGATATTCTTTTCCAGTGCACACGATAAGTTTTGAATGAGCAGTTGAGTTTTTATTCAAAATAGTAATTAGGATATTGCAGGTAAGTAAGTATTATACAAATACCATTTAACAGTTTTTTAAGAATAACTTCAAAGCTTATATTCTAACAGTAGACTGTATAAACAACTTAGAGATTGGCTCTCGTTACCATATCATTTTAGCAGAACGAGGTGAAATGGATAAGTTGAATGGCAAAATAAATCGTAGTGATCATGGTAATGTGAATATGCTTTGAAAATGTATATGGGAAGAATGGAATAATAAAATTCAATGTTGACTGGAGGATGAAAAGTAAATACTTATATATAAGTATAAGTATATAAATATACTTATTGTTTGTTTGCAGTCGATTCTCAGCATTTTTTACAGCACAAATATGGACATTAAGAGTTAGAGTAACATTTGTGTGGTTGTACTTGGCTGCCAGAACCAAACTAGATTTATATGTGTCAAATACAGGATCAGTGAAGCAAAAAGATAACAATGATTATTTACCTTACTAAAGTTATTTTAATCCAATATATATTTACATTTTGAAGTATAGTTAAAGATCATTAATGAAATAATTTTCTTGCATAATCTAGGTGTGTGTGTATCAGATTCTGTTTTATTTACTTACTTTTTCGTATTTCCTTCCAAATATGTAATTATTAAACCTGGTATATTCTAGATTCTAAATAGCTTTTGTTTATTAGATGATCCTATAAATTAGCTTTAAGTAATGCTCTTATGCACGTGACAATGGGTTTTAATACTGGATAAGATAATTTCGTGTGCTGTTAGGGGTATGAGTGCGGATGTCACTTCCAGTTTGTCTGCTTTATGAAAGGATATTTTTTCTTAAGGGACTTGAAAAAGAATCTGAGTTAATGTTGGTCTTAATGACCTGGGAGAGTGACGTCAGAATCCAACGGACAACTGCCTGAGACATGTTATACACAGCCTTTCTATGGCAAGATTTTGAAGTATTAGAGTTTAACTGACATGGCTCAAAATCGTTACCAATAGCCCAGGTCCTTTCATTCTTTGTCCGCCCCCAAATTCTTAGTTTCTGAATTCATCATAGGTCTATCCTTTTTTCTTGAGTCTTCGACAATTACCACTAGTACTGTTGCTACACCCACTACTGTGGTATTTGGCTTGACAATTTCCTCTCTTCATTCTAATGGGCACGGTAACTTGGACTGATGTACGTATGTACCAAGTTCTGTGTGGCGTCTGACTGAATAACAAACTAACTTGATTTCACTATTTTTTTAAACACCTTAATTTCTTTCTGTTATTACATAACTGGTGTTCATTGTAAATGTCTGAGTACTCTCATTAATTGTTCACCTTAATTCTTTTCCTTTCTTTTTTTTCTCACAATGTTTTAGTCTTACCACATGGTCGGGATTACTTATTCCAATTGGTGTTGTTGTAGCAGCGATCATTGTGTATAAATGTTTCTTATGAGTACCTTGTCGTTATCTGTCTAACTGTACGTGTCTCCATCGTGTCTCTCTGTTTAAACACTGTGATCTTGCTTTAAGTCTCTTCTTCTGTGACTGATACTAGTCTGTGTATTTTCTTGAGCTATTTATTTGTTAATATATTTGTCATAATAAAGGATAGTCAAAAGTTTTTTATAGATCTGATGATTCCTCTTTTGTTTTAAAGTTTATATGTGATGCATTGTCTGCAAGCACGTGTGTGTGATTGGCTGTTTGTTTGCTTTAGATTACGTACGAACGACACTCAGAACTTCTTTAGTGCAGGATGTTGCAGTTATTTATAATATAGATTTTTCAATTGGGTTCTAGAGAGTTGCACGGAGCTTTTTCATCTTGTGTTCAGCTGTTGGATAATTCAGTTCAATGTGGGTTTTAACGTGCATAACAGAGGTGTATCTTAGTGTGACAAAGCAATCAATATTAGTTTTTATTTGTCGAAATGGATAAAGACCTAAAACTGATTGTCTGCATTATGTAAAAGTTTGTTCCTGTATTAATTAGAGGGAAAATAAAGTTCGAACTCGACAACTCCGTTATGCGCTTAAAGTCAGGGTGATTTTCAAAAACCAAAGATACTAGAGGTGATCAATAAGAAACTCTAAACATAAGCTTCGGGCTAGTTGAGACTTGTTAGCTACTGGTATGTTTAATATTGAGGAAGCCTGTTCTCCCTATGTTATTGAAATACTAGCCAATTAGCTTACCACTGAGCTATTCAGACTATGATGCTTATCGGTATATATTTGTATATATATATATAAACGATTCTGTGATAAGTGCATTCACAAAATATTAATGGTTGTGACTTTTTGATCTGGGGGCTAATACTTTATCGGAGGTGTCTCTAAGAGTCTACAGACCTTATTCCACCACAACTATCTTTCATCTCAAAGTGTCATTTATAGATCTTCCTCCTTGTTATTCTCTACACAGTCCCAGAGTTAGCCATCAAAATTTGGTTACTACTTTATAGAAAGACTAAAAATCATTTTCGTGAAAAGACAATTTTTACATTTGTGATTTGATGTGCATATTATTCCTCATATCATTAATAACTTATGGGAATTTTAACATCAACATCAGATATGTAAATTCACCAAGTTTTTCCGATATTAGGTCTGACAGCAAATATTCAAAAATATGAAATTAACTGAACTCTTATGCCGTGGAAAACGTTTACGTCATGATAAACTCCAGTTCTTGACCAATCGTTATTGGTATGAAAGAGGTTCACGTTTGAAAGTTAACCGTTTACGTGTTCCCGAACAAGTTGCGAGTGGTCCAGATAATCCTTTATTAAAAGCAGAAAATATGTTTAAATCAACTAGGTATGATGATGCACTTCTGAACGAAATTGAAATAGGAATTACTTCAAATGAAGCCGAACGTATAGAACAACAAAGATCAGAGAAACTTCAGTGTTTTCATCCTCTCTTCGGAGATGTCCGCTCTCACCAAGATAGTGAGCCGTCATTAATCTTCTCCAGTAAACGACGTTTCTCAAAGGGTGTAGATCAAGCCAGTCTTTTAACAAATGTAAGTCTTTCATTTTTAGTAACTGAATAACGTGTTACAAATTAATATCTTAAAATTTGTTTAGTATTTATTAATTGTTGTAAAGTCAAGGGATCATTTCAGCTGTGAAAATCTATGCAATAACTACACTGTCTCCAACCTTGTAGCAAAAAAATTTCAAAATTTTGATTTAGATGTTGGTGCATAGTAGTGTCTTTATTTTTACCAACAAAGTTTTCTCCCATCACTTCTTATTTACCTCATCAGCTCAACCAAGACCTTTCTTTAATCATTGATTAAGTTTCTGAAAATTATCGATAGATAGCGACTATCAGGCATGACACAACTTTGGTTCCGTTCGGGGGGGGTCTATGTAGTATCGAATTTCTTACAGTTCACTATTAATCCTGTCCTAACCCCGAACCTTCAGGATCCATCAAATCACAACTTCACAGCAAGTCACTCTGAGAGTATCTGAAAACTCCCATCCATAAACCGGCTTTGTGATACCCGGGATTTCGTCTAATCTGATCTACACAAAAGTCGTCAAGACAGTGAATTAAATGTAACGAGCTACAAAGATGGATATCTAAGTCACAATATATGCCTCAAAAAATTCAAGAAATGAACCTATCTATGGAAAAAACGTGGTAACATCACTGAGCACGTCGGCATATTCTGCCCTGGCAGCCTGCAAATACGTTACATTTGGCGTTAACTATCAGTTGATCCATCTACAGCCTAAAACAGCTTTGTATATCACTCCGTTTCTCAACTATCAGTCAAATTCATTTGAGATACAAATGCGCTAATATGGATCCAATCCAAATGACTATCGCTTTCTTTACAGAGAGGAAGGATGTCCACGATCTAAATATTCATGGTGGGTCAAGAAACCTCCAGACCCGTTCTAATCCCTTCAATCAAATAGAACTCCAAACCATGTTTATAAAAACTTTATCAATTACGGATGGAGATTTTTGTTAAAGATGGGGTGTAATGGTTGACCGAAAGCTGTATTAGTGTGAAATCGAAGGTTATCTAAAACTACGAATATTCCTGGGACCTATTGATTCTACTATTGTGGTGGCTGTTACTCACAAGATGGCGCATAAGTAGTATGCGGGGGAACGAGATGCATGGCAGAGATGTTCGAGATGACAGTCAACAACCTTCTTGTACTGTAAATGGACGTTGGAAGATTATGTGTACGTGTTTTGTAAATAAACTGTTTTATCCAAATATATTTACTTCATCTGGTTTTGACTTCGTCGTACGTTACTGTGCCACAAAAACTAGTTTAACCTTTTATCATTTGGTTTATTATAAATCTTGTAATAAGTTAATACTTCATAATTTACACCTATTTTTATCTTGTACTATACTATGTATATTTATATATATACTCATATGATCGTCGTTTCATAGAATATAAAACATCTAAAAGTCATCCTCTAAGTGTTTGCTTGTGGATCTCATTGTTGTTGTACATTGACCTTTAGATCTTAGTTTCATGTGTATTTGCACTTCGTATTAGAGGTGTCTCAGGTCGGCATTATTTTGGACCAAATCCCCAATAGATATGTTACTTTACCCATTTTTAGTTGCTATTTATTGGATGCAGGAGTGGCTACCTTTCCCACACTATCTTGAACACGTTATGAAGATTTCAGTTATTTTGTTGATATCCGTAGTTTTGTTTTCTGAACAGTTTTAAGACTAGGTCAATATTTTCTGATAGGTAGTAATTGGAGGTGGTCACTGATTTATTTTCTATATCTAGGCGGAAAACTCGTCTATCGTTTACAAGATCTCTGTATGCATTTAAAATTAGAATAAAGCTATATTCTTTACGGTCTTCAAAATTCAGGTATACTGTTATAGCTTCCTACGCACAAAGAAGATTTAACCTAACTTTTGTGAAACTTTAAGTTGGAGTCCGGTCGTCACAAAATGCTCATTAAATCACACTCGATCTCAACGTACAGTACGAGATGGAGTAGTATTAACTTGTAAAGAAACTGTTGCGGCTCGGACCCTGATCCTAACAATTCGTGAAGTCTTTGGCAGTATCCTCTGCATTTCATCATTTATTTCATTTTTCGAACATTTTTCTGCGTTTCCTGTTTTGTTTGCTTTGTCCTTCTTTGTTGTGGCACATTTATCTAACATACCGAGCACGGGTAGGAAGGATTTGATTTTGACCAGTTTGGTCTCGAATGCTATTACGGGTATAAGGGCGGTTGTCAATTCCCGGCTACCCACACCGTGGAAGGTTGTTTATTGAGGGACCTGAAAAGGAAAGTGGATTAGTGTCGGTTTTAGAGACCGGGGGGCGTTACCGCAGAGGCCAGAGGACAACTGATTGAGGCCGGTCACGCATGGCCTTTTTATGAAAGGGTTTTCGAGTATTAGCTCCGCTCTTAAAAGCCCTTAGTGGGAACCCTTACCGCCGGAGACAGAAATCCGTGAAGTAAAGTCAGGTGTGACATTTTTAGGGTCGACCTTTTCTAACCCTTCATTCCTTGTGAGAAGGCAGCATCGCTGCAGATGCTGGTTGTCCGAGGGAAACATCTTACTACTGTCACACCCCTCTGCAGTCAGCAATACGACTTCGCCCTCAGACCTTGAGCCAGTCAGTCAGATGCAACGTAGAACCTCGTACGTAAGTACATCAGTTCATGTCGCCATACCACATCAGCACAGAGACGTAATTGTCAATTCAAATCCAATAATAGAAGAGGTAGTAAAGGTATTAGAAGTAATCGGAGAGGCTAGGATTAGAAGATATTATTCAAGAAGTATGATTTAATGAGAAAAGTTTAGAAAGTCAAAACTAGAGTTGTTGAAGAACTCAGAAGATTAGGATTTGAGAGAACACAAAGCGAAAATGCACCGGCACCATTGCGAACGATTTTGAGCCATATCATTCAACGTCTCTAACCATCGATTATTATCATCTCGCGGACCCCAACCAGGTAGTCGACAACTACCGACATGGCTAAGTCCACTCGTCAATGACTTCATGGATTTCGGCCATGTTTTGGTCTGGCCGCCCCTAACTTTCTTCCAACCTATTCCTACACTACAAAACAAAGTTCGACGAGGCAGTCGGTGGTTGGGCATACGCAACACATGTCCGAACCACCTCAACTGATGAAGTTTCACCACTTCATCTATTGATCTGCCATTCTTACCTAGCACCCGATTCCTAATAACAGCGTTGCTCACTCGGGTGTCCCAGGATATACGAGCGAATGCTTCGAAGACACCTATGATCGAAAACCAGTAACCTACGAATATCTTCTACTCTCACTGGCCATGTTTCACAGCCATAAAGTAACACGGAGCGAACCACTGCACAGTACGCTCGTCCTTTAGTCAGCAAACGGATATCTCGCCTTCGCCATAAGTGATGCAGGTTGGCAAAAGCCAATCGAGCCTTCTATACATGAGCTGAGATTTCTTCAGTCACCAGGCCATCGGCACTGATGCGACTCCCCAGATATGTGAAGCGGTCTACACGTTCGACTACTTCACTCCCTATCACTAGTTCAGGTGCCGATGAAACCCAATCTTCAAGCAACATTTTGCATTTCGAGGGGGAAAACCGCATCCCGAACATGCTTGCATTGTTGCTTAGGCTGGTCAGAAGACTCTGCATTTTGTCAGCGTCTTCACCAAGTAGGACAATGTCATCGGCATATTCTAAGTCAATAAGCGAGCCACCTGGTAGAAGGTCTACTCCTGAAAATTCAGACGAGGATAAGGTTATTTCTAAGAGAATGTCTATGATAAAATTAAACGAGAATGGAGAAAGTGCTCTAGTCTGCTCTTCACGAGAACTAGTAAAGCGTCTAAGTATAATGGAGGCTAACAATTTAGAAACTATATTAGTTAGACTTATTCCTCTTTGATTGTCACAAGAAGACTTGTGTCCTTTCTTAACTAATAGTTTTGCTCTGTTTTAGTTTAGTTTATTTATTAATTTGTTTAACATCACCTTCATATTGTATCTGGTGTTCTTGTTGATTTTTTATTTCCTTAGACTGTCGTTACCTTGGGTGCGCCACCGACATTAAATAACCTCTTTGATAAAATTTATGAATTGAATAAACTTGTTGATTCAGATAAGTCAATTGCAGATTGGAGATCTACTTTACGTTTATCTGTAGAACGGTCAATTCTACATGCTCATGTTTGGCAAACAGATGAAACTAAACTGCCTCGTCGATTCCACCAAAAGTCGTATGTTTGGAAACATAAACCCGAGTATGGAATCCATCCTGATCAGAGCACTCGTTATCTATTCCACAATTTATTTCGTATTTTGGAATTTCAAGTGAGCTATTTTTAAATATACGTAGTTTTATCAGACCGATATTCGTCGCTTATATCCTATCGGGTTTTTCCGTATGGTAAGAATCTAAATGTCTTTTATTGGGTTTGCGAAGTGTAGTCAGCTTGATCATAGTTTTCATTGAATAAAGAACTATTATGAACCAAAAAGTAGTGAACAGCCATTTTATCTTAGTTGGTATTCCATAACCCTCATAAAGATCAAACCTAGAATCTTGTGGTTAACAAGATATCTTAAGATTATCGCTAATTCAGTACTGTCCACAAACGTCGACTGGTCTTACTAAAGTAATAATTGCATTACTGGGTAGTGAAGATTGTTAAGTTACACATTGAAATGATGAATCAACCAATGTTAGACCACCATTAGAGACCTGGAAGCACTGGACGGCCGTTTCGTCTTCGTATGTGACTCATCGATCGATACTTTTTTATTCAATGATGATAATATAGAATTTAATTATGCCGATATATGTGATCTCCGATAAGTTGCCAACAAATCCTACTGACAATTCAGTTCATTGATCAACTCATGATTTTAAAGTAACTTAACAATCTTCACAACCCTATAGTGAAAATTATCATGTGACGAGCTCTGCGAGGGCGTTTCTCAGAGTCCTAGTGAGAACCCTGTTTGGGTGTGAAGCAGTGCTCATCGAAGACAGTGGATGTGGTTGCCCAAGATGAATCGATCAAAGTTGGGCATTAATACATTTGGATGGCTGGTTAATGATCCAGAGGTTAAGCGTTCACGCGCAAGACCGAAGGACGAAACGGGCGTATAGTGCTTTCAAGCTTCTCATGGTGGTCTAACATTGATCGACTCATGATTTCAAAGAAACTCAGCAGTCTCCACAACTATACGGTGAAAATTCAGTATAAGTGATCATTTTAGTGTCCTATAAGTTTTGTGCATAACGCATTCAGTACAACGTTTGTATGCTGTAATTATCAGTATAAATCGATAGGTTATCGGAATTATTTCGTCTATTTTCATACTAGGTTGTTTTTTCTACTTCATTTATTCTTTGTATGTTTTTTTCGTGCACTTGCAACTAAGTCATATTGTTTGTAAAATTCGTAGTCGCTTTTGTACATCGTTGAACACTAAGCGAATAGTGGTTATTCATGTACACTCATTTTCATCTTTGTGTATATAAACAGTTATCATTTTTCTGATTTTCTCTCATTCGCTTATGATGTGGTGTTGTATAAATATTTTGTATGTATATATATATAGATGTGATGATTAGACGCTATGGTTTTAATAAATCTGATCAAACAAAAACTTGCTATAAATCGATAACGTCATTGACTATTATTCTGAGCTATAATGATAATCGCAATCTACCTGCTTAAGATCCACTCAATTATTGTGACCAGTGATTGAAGACGTTAAAGCGAAATGAGTCAGAATAAATCGTAAAGAGGCAGATCTGTTCTAGAATTATTCAATTTTTTGCGTAGATGAATTATTTCCCTTCAAATCATATCCCTTATTGCTAATGTTTTCTTAGTATTATCGATACTACTGCTACTTTAGTTTCCATCTTTATTGTTTTTATCTGTTTTGGTGTGGAGTGGTGACTGGAGCTGATGCACATGCCTCCTCCCTAGCCCCCACCTTTTCCCACGACCGACTGACTTAATAAACGCTTTTTAAAAAATAAAATACAATCGTTCTAGATACTTCTGTTATAGTTCAACTTATTTGAAATATTATTCTTAATTTTAGCTTTGTAGTTTTAAAATACTTAACCAGGCTGATAGCTTAAACGTATGTTTGTCTACTTCAGTTTCATCAACTGTGTAATGTCACTAACCGTCAGATATGAAGTTATATTCGTAGTACTTGTTTACGAGTTATATGGATATTCCGAAACTGTAATAAAAATTGCTAATAGCATCGATGGATAAGTTAAGCTTTTTATTTTGTTTCGTGATTTTTGATCAGCACTCACTTATCGTCCATTTAAAGATAGTTTGGTACTTGCAAACAAGTTAATATTCTAACCAATAAGACTGATGTCAGCTATTGATACATTGCACCACTGTCAACTTGTGGCATTATACTACATATTCTTAGGTAATATATGTGCTTTAACGTGTGTCTAATACCTAATTATCGACAGAAGTAACAATATCTTATTAGAACCTATGATAGCTGTATTGAAGGCAGTTTCTGTTGCTTGCGAATTATTAAGTTGCACTAATTTTTTATGTTTATCATTTCATTATCGCTTTAGGTAACGCGAATAATCTTACCATAATGTTGAGTATTTTTTAATTAGCAAAACTAATTCTTTGTAATGTGTTTTAATGAGTTGGGTTAAGTGAGACTCTAGATATTTTCATTCATTAGGCAATACAAATTTCTAATCATAATATTCATATTCTGATTTCTATATTTCAGCTAAATTATATTATTTAAACTGACCAGATTTCACTGTGATATTTTATTATCTTATCAGGCAACACCATCAACTTGTATACTAACTTAACTAATCTATACATTCTTCTTTCTATTACGAGAAATTCACTATTTCTAAAAATATTACCACATGAGTAATCTTATCATTTTAAATGTAACTAGATGCTTCATTAAACATTTAGAAATTATTTCATTTGTCTTACTGCAAACTATTTTAGGCCCCTAATTATATGAATCATACTGGCTTGATTCCTATCGAAAATCAACTTTCTGATAGTTTGCCTTTTCGCTGGACCACCCGAGATCGTTTATTAGAAACATTCTACTTCTGGGGTGCAGAAAAGCGTCGTATCAGTTTTTCAGAACAACATGATTTGGTAGTTATGGGTCAGACACCCGCCCCTCTCTTTCTGAATGATCATGATACTATTCAAAAGTTGAGTAACGTCTCTATGCTACCAGTTGCAACGTTTGGTCCTATGTCACCTTTAATTGATCTTACAAGTACTTTGTATTATCGAGAAGACAGTACTAATGGATGGCTTGAAACTCAAGTAAGTTGAATCTTATGCTTTTCAATCTAGTCTGATAGAATTTCTGTGCATTCGCTCTTGAATTGGAGCTACTTTTTTAAAAGTGAAACGTTTTTGCCTCCTAATGTTCTTCACTACACATCGCATAAAATTATGAATATATTATAACTTCTTCCTAACCCACAACAAACTAACATACTTCAGTATGCCTGTAGTTGACGTGCAAGTTCATATACACGTATATACAGGTTAGTTATTACAACCTTATCTTGTCAAGACAACATGAATTGACGAAGTCATTTTTTGAAGTCGTTGATAGAATTGTAAACATATTAGCCATAAGTGACACAGATATGTGGTCTAATGTCTATACTAATGGGATAAGATCATTTCAGTTTTTCTTCTGCATTTTTCTGTTAACAGAATGATTAGATTTACTGGACATTAATCCGCATCTTTTTATAAATAGGCTAGCTATCAACCAAAAGTAGGACAAGTCAAATGTCCTTTTATTGAGCCATGTAATAGCACTAGTTCATAAAAATAAATCGTACTAGTAGTATATATTGCTTTTAAACATGAGCTCATTATATCCAGGCTTTTTGGTTTCATTTGTAGAATAGTTTGTAAACATCTCAGTCCAGCTTTTATCGGTAAAATGTTTTTTCTCTTCGCTACTTTATTTCAATAAAATGTTGTACAATGGACGTAAGTTTTCAATTAGTTATCCGATATCTGGCTGCGCGAAGATGTTTCAGTGTGATCGTGATATCTAAAACTTGGAAATTGATCTTTACATGAATTTCAGTTTTAGTTACTTATAAGTAATCTGATTTGTTTTATTTTAAATTTATAATCTTTTTTGTTAATTATATGACTACATGCAATCACCGGCATAGTAGTTTATGAAGGTCGTAGAATTTTCAATTTCGATCATCAAATCTTTGTCCAACCACTACTGAAAATCTGGAAGTACTGGACAGCCATAACGTTCTAGTAAGGGACTGAGCATTGCGCATCCACAACTTCACCACAGGGAGTCGAACCTAATTCTTTCAGTCTCACACGCGAACACCTAATCTCTAGATCACTGAACCGGGATCCAACGATGTCACTGTCAGGCTTCAGTAACTCCACAATATTGTTCAACCCTCACTGATTACTCGGGGTGATTGAATCCCAGTGCTAGAGCGAAAACGCCTTCAACTACTTCCAGGTTTTCAGTGGTGGTCAACCTAGAAACGGACCAGTTAGTGATATGAATCATGAATATTACTATTTTATCTGACTGACGTTTACATATTGATTCACAACTTCATATGCTTAATCCTCATCAATTTATTAAGTTATCTCATCAAAGTGGTAGCTTGAATAATCATTCAATTTTCTTCACAATGTATTTGTCTGCGTTAACGTCTGAAGCAACAATTCTGAACGTAATCCATTGTACTATTTTAAATAGCCTCGGTTAGTAATGAACCTAGTGATTAGTTAGCTTATTAGGAGATCTAGATCTTAGTAGGATCAGAATCGATCACCTCTCAAATTGGAATCGATTTTTTCTGGCAACACTGTCTGAAATTCTTGTTCTATGACTATATGACTTACTAGTAATCAGAGCCCATGCCCATTTTTTTGTCTTTTATTAGTTAAGTTATTTGTTGACAAACAGGCTATAATTTTGTTGGTTGAAACGTGTTCTGCATGATCAGCCATTTTGAACCCGTCATTTTTTCGTTTAACTGTTTTACTACTGATTGTTGTTGTTGTCTGATCACCTTAAATGTAAGCTTAAATTGAACCAGTTATGATTTAAAGTAGAACTACTTACATTACTTAAGTACTTATCAACAAATATTTCCAACAGTCTTCTGACTTGAATAGACCTCGGGTGCGTTATTCAAGTGGATTCAACCATTATTCTGGTGAATCCAACACTATCTTCAAGTCGTTGTAGAATTTTGAATGTGTGTTATCAAACATGTATAAAATTGTTTTTCTTTTTAGTATGGTACTCATCACAAAAATAACTGTCACTGTGAACTAATTTCAGTCATCAAGAAGAATCTGGCAAACGAGCACCAAACAGCCCTAGTTTTATTCTGATAAATTTTAAGTGTTTAAATTGACGCAAAGTGCAACCTCAAGATTTAGCTTTTCAAGAAGTGAATTTACTTTTGGTAAACTTGATAAAATACAGATTTCACTAGTTAGATATCTTAAGTTGTTTGAGCGTGTTGTAAAACAGTTTCTATGCATTTAAGGTTTCGGATATGAACTGTTTTATAACTACTGTTGATATATCCAGTCATTCTCTTTCAAAAATTAAAAGAAAAGCAAGAACAACTTAATTTTCAGAATTCGATAAATTTGCTGTATCGCCTTGCTCTTTCTGCAACCATATTCAAGCTAATAAGTTAATTTGAATTATTAACGTAATTTAGAATTCCTTAAAATGAGTTACTTATCCATCGAGAATAGATTGTTCAAGAGGCAAATAAAATGAGAATTAAAGCTTTAACGGAATTTCTAAAAATACTTAGAATGACAGTTTTAGATCAATTAAGATGTTGCAGATCAAAACACAAATGATTCTTATCAAAAACTGAACGCATATTTAGGAATTAGGTTTTCCTTGGCAAAATTAACTCCACCGTACACAACCCGATGCTCAATAAAAGATAGATAAATCTCTTTATATATCCCATCCAACTGTACATATCAATCTAAATATACACTCGAAACCATGTACATTAAAAGAACAGAAAGAGTGGGATTTAACCCGTCTGATTTAGCATATCCAAAAAAACTAGGCCTTTGAAGTTGAGACGGTCTTTTAGTTGGATAACACCACCACAAGCTAGATATGAGACACTAATTTGATGTGATAAATGGATTCAAGCTGATCAACAAACTTGATATCCTACTTCCTTCCTTAATTTACATGCCTTATTCAAGAAAGCTTCCATATACCTATACAACTCAAACCCATGGTCAATACTTCGTGAACAACTGTGGTTTCTACGTTTGGCTGCCCTTATCTTTTATTCAACCTACCCCTACATCACACGAAATCGCTCGTTGATGCAGTTGATAGTTAGTCATAAGTTACACACATCCTAAACACCGCAACTGATGAGGTTTCAATACTCCACCTGTTGATTTGCCATCCTTACCTATAACTCGTTTCCTAACAACAGCATTGCTTACCCGGTTGTCACATGATACACGAGCAATGCTTTGGAGACACCTGTGATCAAGACCAGTGATCTACAAATATCCTCTACTCTTAATGGCCATGTTTCACAGCAATAAAGTAGGGCGAAGCGAACTGATGTGCAGTACACTCATTCTTCGGTTAGCAGACGGATATCTCGCCTACACCATAAGAGATGCAAGTTGGTAAAAACCAAGCGAGCCTTCTGTATACGTGCTGAGATTTCGTCAGTCACCAGGTCATCGGCACTGATGAAACTCCCGAGATAAGTGAAGCGGTCTACACGTTCGACTACTTCACTCCCTATCACTAGTTCAGGTGCCGATGCAAAAGTGGACATCCCTGACGATCAACATTTGAAGTAATCGATTCCGATGTCAGTTCACCATAAGCTCTAACTCGACCAGTAGTCTCTGACTAGAAAGCCTCTACAGGGTTAATGTACTTCTCGGGAACTTCTTTAAGTGACAAACACTGCCACAGAACCTCACGATCAACAATGTCAAATGCCGCCTTAAGTCCAAAGTATAAAAATATAGTGCGACGCCGAAATGTATGTCTGTGTTCCAGGATCTGATGAAGAGTGGATATATGGATGATAAATCCACATTCAGGTCTAACCCACACTGATTTTCTTGAGTCTGTTCTTCACGATCTCTAGTCAGACATCGAATTATTTTTGAAACCAATATCTTAGACACTATATTAAGTAAACTGATCCCTCTGAGACTCTTTCAAGAGCGATTGAGACCAATCAGATCTCAGTCAATCTAACTGTTAGAAGTGGACTACCATCCTTAAAATCTTAGGGGTCAACCTATCAGATCCTGCTGCTCTCCGTCGCTTCAGATTTCCTATAGCTTTTTCGACTTCATAAAGACTCGGAGGACCTACATCAATTTGCCATTCAGGATGACTGGAGATTGTGGGTAACGGAAGTGTCACTGAAGGCCAGTTGAACTGAGCCCTAAAGTGTTCTGCCCATCTATCCTATCTCCCGAGTTGAGAATGAATAATGCGACCACCCTTTTCCGAGATAATTTTGCTGATGGTTGAATTCCTAGTACCTGTTTCCCTAATTAGGCAGAACCGTTGTCTGTTGTTACCTATCGTCGCTGCCTCTTCCATCGCTTTTGCTTTGCTACCCACCACTGTTTGCCATCATTGCATAGGCCTTTTATCAGCCTGCACCTAAGCTGCCTCGGCTGTTCTTTATGTTCAGAGCCTGGCGGGATGATTTTTCGGGCAGATTGTACTGAGATCCACTGTTCCTCCCTAACTTAATTGTTTACCTTACTAGCAGATATCATCGCTGTTTCCACAGCTTCTTGGATATCATTCCGAACTGCCTCCGGGTGGGAATCACTAACATGGCTGCCTAACTGTTCTTCTAGTTGTTCCCGAAATATATTCTTAGTTTTGCTATGATTAAGCAGAACACTTGGAGGTTTCCTTGTGGTGCCTTTCCTACATCGAGTAAGCTGCAAACAAATATGCGCTCGTATTAGAGCATGGTCTGAATCTAAACATGTGCACCAGAACGAGAGACAGTCTTCTATCGAGCCCCTCTATCGGCGTCTGATGGCGATGTAATGTAGTTGGGTCATGCGTTAAGACAACTTTTGGCGGTTGGCGTGCCAAAGGATGTTTTTCCTTTTGTTTAAATTTGGTATTTGCTAGAAATAGGCGGCTATCTGAACATAGATGCTGCAGCAGACGGTCGCCATTATCTGTTCGATCAGTGGCGACACCGTAAGATCAATCCTGGTGTCTTTCCTCGCCTAATCTGCTTATTTGGTCATTCAAATCACCTGCCGCTATTTTCACATCAGAGCACTTATGTTTTGAAAAAGGTTGGGGAGCTTTCGTTCAAAATCATCCTCTACCTCTTCTGAGGCGCAGTCAGTGGGAACGTATGCAGAAACAACGGCGAGTGTCCCCATCCTTGCTAGTCCTTGCTGTCGCTTTTAGTTGGACAGCGTCCAGATGACTATCTACTGGGATCCAGTCTAAGAGAGCTATTTCTGCTATACCTACACCAGTGAAAACAACAGCGAGGCTTCCAGATACACGAAACCTAAATTGCGTCGGTTCTTTGTTTGGACAAGTTGAAGTCATTTCAATCACTGTACCCGGATCCTATAAGCATGTTTCGGAGACGCAGCATACATTACCAGCACGAGATTGTAAAGTCCTAGCTAAGGAAGCTTGTTCTCCTATTTGACATTATATCCGGACATTAAAAGCTCCAATATATTGTTCAGAACGGGATTTTAAGAGATCAGGAATAACGTTTCTTGTACTCAAGTCGTTAACTCTAGCGGCACCAGATGATAAGGGTATTGGAATAGGGTTAACTTTGGAGATTAGAGAGCTATCAGGAGGTGCGTAAGGAATATGATTGTCACCAAGTATGTCACGAGTATGAGGGCGTGTGTCACTTCCTAGCTGCCTACATCTTGGAACGGTATTTCTGGAGGAACCTGTAAAGGAATTTGGATTGGCCTTGGTCTTAGAGACTTTGGAACGTGACCACAGAGCCCGAGAGACAACTGCTTGAGGCCAGTTGCACACAGCCTTTTAATGTGTTAGCTCCACTTTTCAAATGGCTTTACTGCCAGAAACGAAAATCCGTGTGGTAAGGTGAGGTGTGACACTTTTAAGATCGACCTTTTCTAAACCCTTCCTTCATTGTGAGAAGGAAGCATTGCTGCAGATACTGATTGTCCAAGGGGAACACTTCACTGCTTTCACTCCTCTCTACAGTTTGCTGCACGACTTCCCTTCAGACTTCAAGTTGCTGCTTTTAGTTTCACTGTTCTCCAATCGACCTGCCTGGCATGATGGGACCGAAAGGAACATATATCCCAACTAATATCTTTCGGTTGGGTCATCACGATAGGCAAGCCCAACCATTACGTCAAGGTTACTGCTACGGTCGGGTTGGTGCACCGTGTACTGACATTTTCAAAAGTATGTTTTAGCTACCCTAACCACTAATAAGTCATGTGTTTTAGTAATTGATTTTTCTGATGACGTCCAAAAGGGATATTTTTCCGTATGGAAGTTGTTTAGATTCATGAAAACATTTTAGTCCTTCCATGCAATCATGAAAGCAGATCCCTTAAATCAACACTTTTACTCATCGATACAGTCAATCATTTTGGTCCATTTTTATTATTTTTGTTTTAACTCAATCATATTTTGTCTTGGTCATTATACTTTCTACTCTTTTTAAAGGATAATTATATTACCGCTTTAAAATATTTAAGTCAGTCATTTTTGTTATGATTTTAGCATTGATTTTCATTTACTGTTGGAGAAAATGTTTTTCTCCGATCATTAACTCTGTTGTCATTTGCCTTTTTTTTTCTGAAGTGCTTCCCTTTTCAAAATATTGGAAATTCATTTTAACCAATGATTATTTTATCAGTGAATTATTTAAAGAGATAATGTGTAAGTGTTTCTTGTTGACATTCACAAAGTGAATACGATGTTAAGCGTATATAAATTTTTAAGTTGTACAATTTATTAATCCAGTACCTGATTTGAAATGATCGAGAAGATTTATAGCTCCAATCGGTGTTTTTGATCATTTTTAGTTCTATGGGCAGAATTGTTTTATTTGACAGCATTAATTGTTTTGAGTAACATCATCAGGAGGCTACTCAATTTTGATGTGAGTTTTTTAACTATTCTATGTGCTTCATTAAAATCACAAGTCGATCAATGTTGGATCATTATTAAAAATTTCGATACAGTGGACGGACATCTGTCCTAGTTTGAGACTCACCAGCAATGCGCGTCCACGACCACACAAGCAGGAATCGAGACCAGGACCTTCATTTTCGTGCGCACATGCCTAACCCTCTGACCTTTGAGCCAACATCCAACCGTGTTGATGTCTAACTTCAATCAATCCACGGCATATTCACTTCGGCTGAATCACACACTAGGACGAAATTACCGTACAATGCCTCCAGGTTTCTAATGGTAGTCTAACATGAATCGATTCATGATTTCAATTAAACTCGACAAACTCCACAACTCTATGGTGGGATTTCTAGTAATCTTCAAAACCTCAAGTATGTAAATACACAAGTAACTAATAAGTTGTATGGCTAGAATATTTCTCGATTAAAGCTTTACTTTATCATTACAATGCAATGCACTTATCAGGATAACATTCCATTTTTTAATTTATAGAATCGCCGCTATGCATTTCCGCATATTTTTACAGTAAATTTCAGTTTACCAAGTGTGTGGTCAGATTATTTGGAGCCAGAAGCGGATCCTGTTATCCCGGAACATCGATATGCGATAGCATTAATGAATTGTTTTGCATCTGCAGTTGCGCAAGCTCGTTCAATGGGAATCAGCGAAGGGGTTCTCGACAAACCGCTTTGTGTTCAGTGTGTTTGTTCTGATGGAGTATATTTTGATTTTGTAACATTTCAGTTAAATAATATGGATGTACCTGATTATCAGTTTAGTCAAAAATCAAATAATAATGCACCCAAAAATTTTGCCTGGATTGATGGAAACCATCGTCTATTCAAAAAAGCTGTACCAACAAAAACCATGATGCGAAACACAAAATATCGTGATCTAGATATGAGTGTATTTGATCGCCTCTCAGGCTACTATCTTTGTGGGTTGATCAACAATTCCTTCAACATAAATGAATCATTAATACCTGAACTTAATACAGTTAACCATCAAATCCGTGAATAAAATATTACTTTGTACAAAGAACACATAAGTTTACAAATAAGAACATTTTGTAACTTTATTTAAGAAAAGATTATAATTTACGTCTGTATAAATACATATACGTTTACCTTTTTCACTTTCCTAGCTTTTGTTGTATAACATATGAATAATTTACAATAAGCGCTTGAAACATTTAATCAATTCTATACGTATGTAGGCATATAGCTAGTTAAAATATTCATTTCTTTACCAGTTCCATCCAATCGCTGTTCATTCTTTACGTTTCCTTTGACCGTAAGGATTACAAGTTTGCCTTGTGGCGCAGTTGGGGCGTTTCCGCCATCTGTCCGATCCACCTCTAGCACATTTTCCTAACTTGTTCATCAGTCGAAAGCTGCCTTGTTCCCTCCCACAGTAGGTTGTTGCTGCTGGTGTCTGGCCAACGGATGGATGGTATCTTGCGTAGACAACTGTTAATAAACACCTGTATCTTGTGGATGATGGGTTTTATAGTTGTCTAAGTTTCCACGCCGTACAGTAAAAATTTCTTGACGTTCGCATTGAAAATTGTGACTTTGGTATTAGTTGATAGTTGTTTTGAGTACCAGATGTTCATTTGAAGAAATGCGGCCCTTGCTTTGCCGACCTGCGCCCTCACATCTCCATCAGATACACTGTGCTCACCAGGCATGCTGGCCAGATATGTAGGGTCTCTCTTCCTATAAAGGTTCTCCAGCAAGTGTGATTTGGTTGGTGCAGGTTGTGTTGTATCAGAGGATCTTGGTTTTTCGTTTGTGTATGTTGGGACCTATTACTGGTGAGACTGCTGCTTCTCCCGGTTTTGTTATTGTGTGTGGAACAGAACAGCCAGATCATCTGCGAAGTGTAGATCGTCCAGCTGCATCCGAGCTGTCTACTGTATCCTGTGCTTCCCTTGAGATGATGTATTCATTCCAACCTTCTTCCGGATGGGAATCACTTACATGGTTGCTTAACTCTCTTTCTAGTTGATCCTGAAATATATTCCTAGCTTTATTATCATTAAGTAGAACCCTAAGAAGTTTCCTTGCGGTGTCTTTCCTACGTTCAGTAAGCCTCAAGCAAATACGCGCTCGCACTAGGGCATGATCTGAATCTAAACATGTGCCCCAGAATGAGCCACGGCCCTCTATCGAGCACCTCCATCGGTGGCTGACAGCGATGTGATGTAGTTGTGTGCAACGTTGAGACGACTTTGGTGGTCGCCGCGTCAATAGATGTTATTTCCTATGCTTAAAGTTAGTGTTTACTAGGAATAGGCGGTTATCTGAGCATACTTGCAACAGACGGTCGTCATTGTCTGTTCTCTTAGCCGCGACACCATAACATCCACCAAGGTGTCTCTCCTGCTCACTTAGTCTACCTACTTGAGCATTCAAGTCACCAGCCATTATTACTATATCGAAGCGCCTAGCTATTTGGAGGAATCCGAAAGCTTTTTGTAAAACTCATCTTTAACCTCGTCTGAACTGTTGTCAGTGGGGGCATAGGCAGATACGACAAAGAATCAACGACGGGTGTCCCTATATTTCTAAGTCCTAACTGTCCCGTGTAGTCGAACAGCGCACAAGCGACTATCTACTGGGATCCAGTCTAGGAGAGCTAGTTCAGCCCTATGACTCGATGCTATACCTAAGCCAGCGAGACCGCGGGAAGCGGCATCAGGGCTACCGGATTCACCAAGAGTAAATCGAGGTGCTTCTTTGTTTTGATAAGGTGAAATCAAATTAGTGACTTTACTAGAATCCTGCATGCGCGTTTCCGAGACGCAGCATACATTGATGTCATAGCTAAGGAAGCTCGTTGCACATTTGACATAATGTACATACACTGAAAGCCCCGACATGTAGTCTAGAATGGGGTTTCAGGAACCTGAAAAGGAAGGTAGATTAGTGTCGGTCTTAGAGACCTGGGTGCGTGACCGCAGAGCCCAAGGGACAACTGCTTGAGGCTGGCCATGCATGGCCTTTTTATGAAAGGTTATTCGACTATTAGCTCCGCTCTTAAAAGCCATTAGTGGGCGCCCTTACCGCCGAGACGGAAATCCGTGAGGTGTGACATTTTTAGGGCCGACCTTTTCTAACTACTTCCTTCCTTATGAGAACGCGGCATTGCTGCAGATGCTGGTTGTCTGAAGGAAACACCTTACTGCTCTCAAACCTCTGCAGTCAGCAGTACGACTTCGCCCTCAGACCTTGAGTAGCTGCTTTTAGTCTCACCATTCTCCAATCGACCTGTCTGGCATGGTAGAACCTTCAGGAACATATGTTCCAGCTAGTATAGCACGGTTTGGTCATGACGATAGGCCAGCCTGACCACCACGTCAAGGTAGCAGCTACGGTCGGGCATGTCTGATTATGTCTCAAGCCAGTGAGTTGTACCACCTCTTATCACTCAATCCACCATTAGTACGTACACAGATACACAAACTTTCGACCACTTATGTCTGCTCACTACCAAGAAACAGTGATTGTTTTTCTGAAATAAGCTGGAGTTTGAAGATATGATCATGATATTTCCGATCGGAACGAAAAATAGTCTGCTCCTGGCGACTCAATCTTTTCAGGGTTTCGAATAGTCTGTAAAGTGTGAGGAAAGCTAATAGTTTGGACTTAGTCGAAGAAGACTTATTCCCTTATAGCTGTTACATAAGTGACGTGAGCAAGTTTAAAAGATAGGGGCAACTATCAAATCACTTCACGATGTTGGAACACTCACTGATTGCCAAATGGTTGTAAACAACTCATTCAAATTCATAGTCGGAAGGTCATCATCATCTTTAACGACGGTCGGAGGGTAAAGTCATCTGTACCTGGTGATTTGCAATGGTTCTGGAGATGAAGTTCCTTGCAGAATTCCTACTAGTTAAGTGGGTCAGTCGTCACCGGCCATAGAGGATAGAGTAGTCTGATCAATGTCACTGGGGCAGTCAAACATTTATTCTAAATATTCTGTCCACCGTCCAAGACATCGAAAGATGTTATCGCTTAGCACCCCATCAGCTTCACAGATCGTTTTACTCACAGGGATGATTTAAGAGAGCTTGCAGCAGTTACGACATGCATCTGCTGTTTCCAACTCATACAGGTATCGGACTGACAACTGACATAGATGCCCACTTTTTTTGATGACAGAGCCAATCCTATCTGTTTTCCGACTTTCATTAATGTTCAAACGTTGAAGGAGGTTAGTTTGAGTGACACAATTTCAGAAAGGCTGGTTCTGAATTCATATACTGTGCTAGCATTCAAGTTACGACCAGTCAATGACTTGAGATCATTTAGACAGGACAAGATTTCCACCAAGAGCGAGTTGCTGTAGGAGTTGAAGATTAGAAAAATACTCAAAACAGGAATAAGGGAATTAACAAATTACAGTGAAAAATGACCACACATACTTGCAAATAGTTTTCAGTATGATTTGCGGCAATGTGGACTGAAGAATGAATAGTTTTTCTGATTTTAGTCATCATTTAGTTCATGCCAAGGTTAGGATTTTGCCCAGACTACCAGACCGAAGTAGGTTTTTTCTTACGGGATCAAACTCTGAGCCTTTTATTCAAAGACCTAATCCACAAGGCAATGGAGCAACATTATGAGATGCAGTTCCGTGGTAGCCAGTGCCCAACAATAGTTTCATATACCACTTTTTCTTTCAGGATCCTGGAGGCAATGTGCTTTACTAGTTTGGAATCAGAGTTTTCCAACTCATTTAGATGGATCCTTCGTAACCACCACCCAGTTTAGGTGTTGGAGTTCACTTTTCGTCCTCTAAGTTTCTAAAACTCTAACCCCGTCTCAAGAAGGCAGTGAGTAGCACTTCTCTGGCACGACTATACATACGCGGCCATCTTGAGAGAGAGGGTGCTCTATCTCCGCCCTCGACAGTACTAGGGCGTATTCTTGTACAACAACATTTGATGGTTTATACAGTTTAACGTTTTCACTTCCTTTTCATAATACATAAAAGTGTGAATAGCATTAAACAGCTAACACATATACGATTGTTTTCTTAATTTCCGACTGTAATTTTTCTGCAAAAGTTATTTTCATAACTCAACTATATTAGCTGAAGCTGAATTTAAAGTATTGAACTTTAATTAAAATTTACTGTCAATTATGTTATTATATGTTTATATTTCTGTGTTGCACAGTAACAGACAGTAAAAAGAATAGAATCAAACGAAATAATGCATACTTTTCAATGCATAAAATTGAACTATCACTTTTATTATATGTTATTTTAGTCAAAATTCCTTCATTACTTACTTTTTGTTTATGTTCAAGAAAGGTAGTGATGAACATTTCATTTGTGTAACTTACACATAAATATTTCTTGAATAACTGGTTGAACATTTCACATTGTACTAGTTTATCAATTACATTAACTTTTTTAAATTAGTACTATCACGCGATTTGTTTTGAGTATATTCAAACTTCTTCATTTTTAGCTATGTGAAGATATACATAGATATATAATCAAAATAAATTTATTTTACAAATGATATTAAATCAAAAAACAACCAATCGATTTCTTCTTAATCATGCAGTCCCAAGTCCTACAAGATCAAACGTTAGTGAAAGTAAAATTTGCATAATCTGAAGCAGTAAAAAAGATCTCCTGACAATTAAAACAGAGTTTAGTGAAATCTTTTTTGATACTTATTTTTAAAGAAATATCTAATACTTTAAGGTTAAAATAAGGATGCAATAAACATTGACGGTCATTAAATTAACCGTTCATTAAATATAGTTTATAATTCAGAATGTAATGAAATCGAATGTTTTATGTTACGTTTAGTGAGACTCTGTGACAGTAAATGTTCAAAAAGTTGAGTAAGTATGATATTTCAAATCTTCTTTTATCATAAATTAAAGTGATTTTCTCATTGATGTATTCAGGCTTAGCCGGGCAGTATCAACAGCCAAGTTCCGTAGAGTTGTTGCAAATATTTTACATGAAAACTACACTCCATGGAAAGGATTTGGAAAGGCGCTAGCAATACCATTCAACACTTGTGTTTGGTTCTATTTCGGACCTCAGGGCTGAATTTACCTGAATCTCAATGCTGATGTTCACGATGACACGCTTATATAAGTTTCAACTCATTTGTTAAAGTTATTTATACACTAATACATTTTATAAAATTAATTAATATGTACAATGGTGTTCAGTTCAATAGTCGGATGAAAGAGTTATCCAATCCTTGTCCGTTTTATCTATAATTGACTAGAAAAATTTCAGTTGATGTTGTAATTCACTTTAAATAATTTAAACAAACTTTTATTGTTGCCTCATATCCAGTAGGTAGAGAAATAATTCAGACTATATACTGATGTATGCTTTCACCAAAACAAAGCAAATTACCTATTCACAGCTTACTTACTAATTGATCTAATTTTAATTCATCAGTAAGCAAAAAGCATAAATATCTAGTCAGTGAAATTAATCTAATTTTATGATATAGCTTAGATGGATGATTTTTGTGGTGGATCATTATTTACATTGGATAGCTTCGTTGAGAAGCTAAAATTACTATTCTAAACTCAAATGCTCTAAGAGTAATACTGATCTACTTGGAACAGAAAGACTTTATCTATAAACTATAATTTCAAGTATCTGGTCTATCATAAGATTAATATATTACCTTAGCGAATAATTCACTGAAATGTCACTTACTATTTTGGACTTAAAAACTTTTCCTCACCTACTTTGGAGGTGGCGACAGTGTAGTGGAAATTCACGTTTACAGACCTATACTTAGCTGATCAGCTTCAATAAAACAGAATACAATAGTATTATGAAATAGTTACAATATACCTTAATCAAAACTGGTAACTTGTTCAGTCCAATTTGACAATTTTCTACAACCTTGAATGGTGTAGTTCTTCTGAATTATCAATAACTGATTTGCAACTAAATGATGTAATCTTCATCCATTCAAACAGAATACTGGTTGAAAATATTAGTCTGTTAGAGTACTCATTTATCGTTTATAGACATGTGCTAGAAAAGATTTGTTTCCATAAAAAAAAAAAGTAATGATATTCTCTAAATTCGTTTACTTCAATTGGTTATCTATCATGTGATCCACTCACTCGTGTACAGCTTTAAGTGGTTAGTGAATAGTGAAACAAGCATTTACACATGCGCAAACAGCTCTGTGTACTCAAGGTCGGAAGTTTGATTCGCACAAATTATCGATTAGTTGTTACAACAGTGAAATTTCTTATACATAAACATATATGCCATTGAAGGAAAGAAGCAACACAACTACAAGACCCACTTTCTGTTTTTACAAGGTTAACAAAACAACTCAGAGTTAAAATAACAACCATAAATTACAATTATATGAAAATGTGTTATGAATTTAAAAGCTTTCAAAGTCAATAAATCATAAAAATGAATTCATCAAATAAAATGCGTATGGAACAAAGAAAGCATTCAAGTTTATTATCTGAACTGCAAAATATTTTGTCAACAGACGATAAAAAAATTGAAGTTGGTAAAGCTATATTTAGACAGTAAGTGTTAATTGTTCTATAAAACAATGATCATTTGTATTAAAAAATAAAATAGGTCAATTCATGCATAATTTGAGGAATGTAAAATTCTTTTATTTTAGTTATGATAATTATTATGACTATAGATTTCATTGTTTTAGTAGATCTTCAAAATGTTCCGAAAAATTTAGATGACTCTTAAATGAATGTAAGCGTTAGTACATCACATGTAGTTTGTCGATATTGTTAGTGATGCTCAAATGTTTCAGAGCTAATATTTTGAATGTAATATAATTCGATTCAACGTGTTTTCTTCGTCATTGCTAATTCATGATTATCCACATCGGAACATGATATCATTTCATGAAGTTATTCAATAATTAAGTCAGTTTTTTTGTTAGATGCATTCGAGTCTGCGAAATAATTGTAATCTATGTTTATATATCATAGCTAAAACATTGTGTAAAACAGATTACAAAGGTATAAATGAATATCCTTTTCATTGTTCGATTTTAGACATTCTTTTCCTATTCTACTTGTAATATTTAGTTCGACCACCAATGCTGACATTTTTGTCGCTATTTTTCATCTTATAGAGAAAAGTGTACGAACGTGCATTTCCGATTGTTAACAAAAAGTTGAAATAATTTAATCATCTCCATATATTAAGTTAGATTCATGTATACTTTGTAGATACGAATGAAAAGAATTTCTGTGAAAAGTATTGATTTTCCTTAAATTTTGATAAAATGAATAGAAAGAAGGTCTTAATAGTGACTCAGCTATTTAGCCTCTTTGAATTATCAATTTGAGCTGATGCCAATTATGAGAACCATGGAACACTTTTAACTGTTGTGTTTATGGTAGACTATATATATATATATAAATATATATTTAGAGCGATGTAAGATTTAGTTTGAAATCTATGATTGTTTAAAAGACAAGCAGCTTAAGAAATGTCAAGATTTTCGATATTTTAACTTGGAATTTAAAGGACATAGGTTGTAAATAAGTTGGTGTATAATATATACCATAAAATTATATGCATTCATTTTGAAAAGTTCCAGTGGCCTAAATAAATAGTTGACCACTAATCTGATCTGATGTACAAAATGTTACACTAGTCTCAACGAATTAACATATTGAAATAACAGTTAAAAAAAAGTCGGAAATGCAGCTGGTGATTTGATAATAATAGAATATATGATCAAAGGATCATACTTTACAGAAATTATTTCAGTTGGAAATTTTCTAGTTTATGAGAAAGTTTCTCAAAACACTTGCCTTTAGAAAGAAATTTTCGTGAGTCCTTTTTTCTAAACTAGTTGACGTTAGAGAGCACGCAGAATACTAATCTGAGTTCGTTTTTAGGATGTTAGTGCTAGTGCTAATGCTCTTAGTTCAATTTTTAATGGACACTGTGGACGAAAAACATAACATTGGTGAACTAAAATCTTCCAGTGAATCCCTATTTCGTTGTTAGTGCCTATTCTAAGATAACCCAAATTACTTGTTCAAAATGTTGTCAGATTATGTAGGACTACTTATGAATGAAGACAGAGATGTATATTCCTGTCTACTGCATGGACAAGAAATAGTAACATTAGGAAAAATGAAGATTTAATTAAATATATCATTATATATTTGAGTATTCACATTGTGTCCAAACGTAAACATTGTTTGCCCGTACGTACTTAATAATTTATCTCAATCAATCCATGTGAGAAATGTTCACTCTTTTTTATCTAACAAATATTTATATCATTATAGGATTGTGGAGATTGTTGACTTTCATTGGAATCAATGTTAGATCACTATTAAAATCCAAGAAGTATCGAACGGCCATTTCGTCCTAGTGTAGGACTCGTCAGAAGTACATATCTACTCTCCCAAATGCAGCGATCAAACCCAAAACCTTTATTTTCGCACACGGAAGCTAAATCTCTTGACCACTGAGGCAGCATCCAGAATTTTTAATGTCTGATTTCAATCAATTCACAATATGCGCACTGCTGATGAGTCAAATACTAGGACGAGATTGCCGTCCAATACTTTCAGGTTTATAATAATGATCTGATCAATTCATGATTTCAACTAAATATTTATGTTTCAAACAAATTATCTGTTTTATATAGTTGGTAATGAAGTTTATAACGTTTAAGAGTTTAGTAGTCTCAGAAATTCATACATCAAATGTATCAGATAATGATATTATTAGTTATGTTATGGGAAAATTAATTCTTATTCAAACAACTATTTATTAAGGTAAATGTTTCTGTCAAAATATTTGTCATCGATTCTACATTACAAACCACTTAGCTTTGGTCTCCATGATATTTAAATTCTTCTAGGTTATTCTTTTAGAATTTTTTAATATACACGTCATCATCTAAACGGTGCACTTCAATAAATCTTCTGTATTAATATAATTTTTATACTGCAAGCTCTATTCAGTAAGAAGAATTATGATTTATGTGTATATAGAATGAGAATAATCAATGTTTTAAAGCTAGGTGGTTGAAAGTAATCAACACTAAGCTCTTGATTTATATTTTGCGCTAATTGACTCACCTTAACAAAACATACCTGTAATCTTAACAGAACTGAAACTTTCTGTAGTGTTTAGACCTGTGTCTTTGAGTTTCGGAGTCTAAGACATATCATTTACCTTCAACCACCTAACTTTCAAACATAGCGAATGTAATATCTAGTTATTCAGACTTCTGACTGACTACATTACAATTCAACCAGCAAAATTTATTCAGCGATAAGGACAAGACAAACATGGGAGTGGTTACAAGTCATTAGCTAAGCAATGTGTTTGTTGCTACATTTAAATTATCCTTTGATGCTAAATTGACAGTGAAGAGTATTATCATGTAAACTTACTAAGTTATATAACTATTTCTTTTATTCAGTTTAATCTTAGTTTCTTAGTTTAAATAGACTGCTGCAGATGTAGAGGTAAAACTAAATGTGAATAAGAGGAATCTCTCGGTAGTGTTTGAGTTATAGTGAAGTCCTTAAAAATTTCATAGGAATTTAATAAACTTTCTGATTTTTTCCAAAATTGTTTTCATACAGGATAAATTAATTACGATCCAATGATACGTAGTGTTCAATGATTTGTACACTTGTACTAGTTCTTAATGAGTACTATATTCATCTCACATTTCGAATCTTATATAACCATTAAACGTGTAATTCAGTTTTTTTATTTCTTAAATTCAATTTCATAAAAAAATTAAAAATTTTGATTCTTTTTTTAAAAAAATTTCTCTATTCATTTGTTTTCTACATTAAATGAAAATAAAATTTTTTTTTCTTTAATTTCATTATCAAATCATCAAAATGAATCGAATATTTATGGGCATGAGTTTATTTATCTACAATTCTCCTTCAATGTCCCTTAATAATAAATTGAATTTCACATCTCTTAGCCTTTACAAGACAAACATTTTTCCCATTCATATCTCTAACATAAAATCTAATTAGTTTCATGTCACCTAAGTACACACACACACACACGTTTAGGGTGTATAAAATAGCATCAATACAAGTTCCATATTTGAGAAAGACAAGGAAATTTTCCATTTCAATTTTTTATTTTTTTTTTATTTTATTCATTCATCGAATAAGAGTGTGTTGTGTTTATTTTTTTTAAAAACAAACAAACAAACCTATCACTAGAGAAGGCTATTTTGGATAAAATAAAAAAAACAACAACAACAACAATGAGAACTGCTTCATGCTGTTTTGAATTTGTTTATCACGAAAATCTTTGTAATTTAAAAAAAAAAAAAACAACAAACAAACAAACTAACTATAGAACAAAACTAAACGGAATATACTGTTTTCTTTTTTCGATAATTTAATGGTCAACTACTACTTACTATAAGCTATGTTTCGATTGTATCAGTGAATTAAGTATACATTAAAAAAAAAATATCATCGAAATGAAGCAATAATTACACCATTCCCATTGTTATTTGTACGAATTAATTGATTTTAGGCTTAGTTCCAATATGATTTATTTATTTTTTTTTTTTTTGGTCAATATTCAGTATTCATTTATCAAGTAAATGTTCATGTATCGATTTTGAGCTAGAGATACTGCTGTTCAACTGCTTAAAAATTATTGTTTAGTGGAAAGCAGGTTTAAACTTGAAACGTACAAGTTGTAAAGCAGGCAAGGCTTTAGGCATTAAACTACTTACTGTATATGTAGTAGAATCGATACCACTTGCAATACTTATAAATCAATAGAAAACGTCTCTTGTTAAAATAATAATAATAATCATAGTAATAATAATAATAGCTTCATTTCATTCTGTTTGATGAATATAGTTTACGATTAAAATTATCTTAACATGTCTCTTAAATTAACTTTGACTATACTTTCTTGATAACCAGATAACTATTGTACACAGTTAGTACCTGTGATCCATGACTTGCACTCGGGTGATATGCATTCCATAGACAGTACCAAAAATTGTGTTAAAAGAGAGCTGGTGTTGATTTATTGTCCACTACGGAGAAATGGGTTTTTGAAAAAATTAGTTCATTTGATAAAATTAGTACACTAAGTAGAAGCTCAGCTCAAAATTTACCTATATGGTTCGAAAAATAAATAAACTTCGTTGATCCAATAAGAGTAAAAGATAAATACCCATCAGCCATTCTGACTAAACAATAGGCAGAAACTGGTCGACAGATTACTCCAATAAGCGGCTGTTCTAGCATATAGAACAGAAATGATAGAATAGAAATGATCGTGAGTAAGTTATATTAGCCTGAAGTACAGAAGAATTCAAGCTTCCTTTCTATGATCATAAACAGTTAGCATTTATTATAGACTCTTGTATTCAGCTTTTCATTGTCAATGATGATGTGAATAATTTCATTTTTCTTCATTATTCTTGTTGTTATTTGATTTTTATCTGTCTTGTTGAACTTACTTAACGTTCCTAGGTATGTCAGATTATTGCTTAAAATAAATTTCATTATTGCGTACCATTTAG